ATCTATATTTGGTAAGGCAACTCAAGTTTTCCTTACATCAAACCTTTCCTTTTTTGTAACCTCAGTTACCATCACTAGTGGATCGTATGGCGACCACTAGTAAATTTAGTTCAGTGAGCTACTTCCACAGAGAGTTATAGCACATACCTTTTGATTCATCACTAGACCAATCAGTGCCCAGAACAAAACACTGCAGCAATATTAACCAATCGCAAGTTACCCATGCCAGATGATGAAGCATAAACATGTGAGTGAATCCTGCCCGAGGTCACTACAGTCATTCATTATTTAGACATGAGTTTATTTTCAGAGATGTTACATAATATAACACAAGTCATACTTACAAAGCATAACATATCACCCCTACAGACCACATGTCTGATGCAAACCCAATTGGTTCATAGTTAATAATTTCTGGGGCAATAAATTCTGGTGTTCCGAAGAGGACACGGCACGGGTCTTCTGGATTAAATCGGCGTAACTTAAAATTTTCATTCTGGCAAGGTGTCACTTCAATATAGCAGACGCTGTGTTTTTAATTGTGTCAGCCTGGAAAGAGGGTTCTTTGAGGTGTCTTTGTGCTGCTTGGAGGCCATTGTGGCCTGAATATGTGCTTCAAAGAGACTTTGAAGGCTTTGAAGAGTTAGAGGAAGATGCTGTTGTACAAGAAATTGTGTGTCTGGGCAATTCCATGGGCCTCGAAGTGGATGATGATGATGATGATGATGTTGAGGAGTTGGTGGATGAGCACAGGAAGGAGCTGTCCACTGAGGAGCTGCTCGAGCTTTATAAAGGAGAAAATGAGACACTGAAGCAGAGCTTAGCTTCTGAGGAGTCAGGGGAGGATGAGGACAAGGAGGAAAGCCGCATCCTTCCAGCCAAAGATCTCAAGGATGTGTTCTGGTGCTGGAACTGTATAATGTTTCAGGATTTTTTCAAGTACTCGGCGAACTTAAACACTACGTACAGGAGACCCCTTAAAAGTGCCAGTGAAACTTGCTATTGCCAAGAATATATTTAATTGCATTAACCACATATTCTACATTTTGTCAATCACAGAATTAGCTATATTCAAAGTTTATATCAAAGTAAATAGCATTTTGAATAAACTGAGAATTTTATATAAAAATTATTTGTTCCAATGTAAAAATGACCAGAAACAAAGATAAAGCACTTACAAATAATAATAAAAAAATTTGGCTTGTGTATCCCAAGTTGCATATGAAACCATCACCACTACTGTACAACCAACCATTGAGTATTAAGGTAATGGTGGGTTTCTGGGTAAGAAGTTCACTGTAATAGCAACCAAAATGGTTCCATTAGACTTGAATAAGACATTTAATGGGCATTAAGTGATGAACCTTATGCTGAGTTATGCCAAACTTGTACAGTGTAGTCTGCATTTACGCGGTCAATTGAACCCATGGAGGCCCGCGTAAAACGAGAAACGCCGCATAAATAAAATTACAGAACATATGTGATTAGTTGAAATAGAGACTGGGCCGACCCCCAAACTCCACTTTTTGCCGACAATACGTACGTTGTAGTAAAAATATTATTTTAACTTTATGATCGTCTGCACACACACATAATATATTAGAGAAATATCAATAAGAGAATAATGTACTGTACCAGGTAAAAGAAAAATCAAGGTTTAACACTTACATTAGGTTAGGTTAGAAAAAATCAAGGTTTAACACTTATGTTAGGTTAGGTTAGAAAAAATCAAGGTTTAGCATTTATGTTAGGTTTAACACTTAAGTTAGTAGAAGAGATGGGTCGGCATACGTTGAAGGGGGCTGGTTCCGAGGCAGAGGGCAGATTAATGGCCCTCAGGTGAATCACCATCACTATCCACCATAGTTGTCAGGGCCTCCCTGACAAATCCCTCAAAGTCAACATCACTGTCGCTATCACTGGCTTGGGATGGCTGTGGTGGGTTGCGGGCGAAGAAGTCCGTGATGTTACGCTGACGGCTAGTGTTGATGTGTTCGTGATACATCTTGATGGACGGCTCCATAGTTTGCAACAACTGGTTATTGAAGACTTTATAGCGGTGATCGTCAGGGTCGTTGGAAAGGACGAGCTTGAGTTTCTCTACAAACTCTATGGCATCCTTAACATTACCATGTGTTAACTTATGTTCTTCTCGGGCTGCCGCACCACTTGCATCTTCACTGACGTCATTGTCTTCCAATATCTCGTCGGCAGTCACCTCAGGATCCCTGATCACCTCCATAATGTCTTCGTTGGTGGTCTCGGAGAAGCCTACAGCTGTAACACTCTGTGTAGCTTCTCTTGCAAGGTCCACTGCCACTGCAACAGACTGAACCTCACCAGTCACAGGTTGACTCTGCCTCTCACCTGGGATACCTTGCAACACATGCCGCCAAGCGTGACGAATCGTTGCCACAGACAGCTGCCCCCATGCCTCCACCAAGAAATCTACAGCTTTCGTGACGTTGAATTTCTTCCAAAACTGTTTGACGCTAACTTCTTACTCCGCCAACTCTTCTTCCTCGTCGCTCTCGCTATCGGTGTCACCCAGGTTACACAACTCATCCTTGGTGTTGGTACAGTCGTTCAGGAGCTTAAATTTCTTTGCAGAGAATGCAGCCTTAACGTTGCATATCAACTCCTGGTCCATGGGCTGGATTAACGACGTAGTGTTGGGAGGAAGGAAGACCACTTTTACGTTTGGGTGACGATCCAACAGTAGGGGCGAGTGTCCTGGTGCGTTATCAAGGAGCAACAAAATGTTGAATGGAACATTCTGTTGCTCGCAGAATATCTTGACGTCGGGAACGAAACAGTCGTCAAACCAGGAGAGGGACAGAGCAGTGAACATCCACGCCTTACGCGCGGTTAGCCAGTGGACATTTAGCTTGGTCATGTCCATGTTCTTGTAAGCGTGCGGCTTACGGGCTGTGTGGATCACCGATAACTTGAGTTTACAGGTACCGGAGGCATTGGTGGTAAACAGGACGGTGATGCGCTTCTTCTGCAACTTTTGGCCCCGACACTTGCTGGCAGACTTGACAACGAAGGTCTTGGAAGGTAGCCTTTTCCAAAACAGACCGGATTCATCCATGTTGAACACCTGGTCGTCGGTGTACTGTCCTTCCTCCATAACTTCTCGTAAGAATGGAGGAAAATCACTAGCCGCAACATGGTCAGCACTCGCTCCTTCACCACCAATGTTAATGTTGGTGATCTTGTTCCTCTTCTTAAACCCTTGCAGCCACCCAGAGGAAGCATTGAAGGGTTTGGGCTCTGCAATTCCCACCTTATGTGCCACTGCTACGTACAGTTCACGTGCGTACTCTTGAACCGACCGCGTGTCCACCGCCGTGTTCCGTCTTGCCTGACGAATCAAGTAGCTCACCAGCAAATTCTCTTTCTTGAGCAGCACCTTGTTCTGGCAGTACTTCACCATTGAAGCACCTGCAGACTTTGTGATGCTCATGTGTTCTTTTATCTTGGCGGCATCCTTCTTGATCGTCCGGATCATAGATTCGTTCACGCCATGCTGGCGCGCCAAATCAACTTGCCTCGTTCCTTTTTCTAATTCTTGTACGATCTTGTACTTATGTTTGTAACTTAGGGCATGTCGTATCTTCTTTGGCTTGGAGCGGCTGGGTCCAGGTAATGCAAGGTTTTTCTATGGGGGTGGGGGTCCAGCAGATGCCATTCTTACGAGATTAGTGGGAACAATACAGCACAGTATACGCGGGGTGACTGGGAACAGGGCGACTGACGGGGGTAGCGGCTTCTTCTCTGTGGTGGCAGGGCACGTCATATTACATTGAACCAATCACAGCTAGCGGGGGAGGGAGGTAAGGATGCGTGGCCCAATCACAGTCCGATACGTCATATAACGTCACCGATAACGCAACAGCGACATACTGCGCAACCTTACTCGCACCGCTTGTGGTCAGGCATGGGTCGCTTGAATACAAAATGGCGCGGCGCGTCTGGACCCTCCAGCGACTCTCCGCGTAAATGACCTAATTTACCGCGTAATTAAAGCATTTAAATTCTGGCAAGGCACCGCGTAAATGACCAAACGCATTAACCAAAACCGCATAAATCCAGACTATACAGTACTGAATAACATTCTCAGTGAGATCAAAGGTACAGTCTCCTTCACTAGTGCTTCTACAAGGGCTAGCCATATAAATATTCTACAAATCATTATACAGTATTGAGTTATTTGTTTTACTTTGATTCCATAGTATGTTTACTATTGCAAGTTTCCTTCTGTCAAATGTATAGAAAAACACGCTTACCACACTGCGCAGAACCTGACTGCCCCTGCAAATGCACTAGTGAAGGGGAATGTACATCAATCCTGGAGGTTTCCTTCATATTGACTCAAACAAAATATCCTTAACTGTACAAATTCTGTTGCTCTATAGTGTTAAACTGTATTATTTTGACATAATTATCACCAAAATTGCTTCCACTACAATTCAGAATAATGACTATTAAAAGATATTAGCCACACTGTTATATACAGATGAACAACCCATAAGGACAGTAAATAACCCATTACACAGGATTTCCTCTCAAACATTCTCTTCATTTTTCCTGTGATTCTTCTACCAATCCAATATAACAAGTACAATTTCATTGTGATAAATGCCAAAATATTCACACTAAATAATTTAAATAAGAAAACATTATATGCTATCTATCTACAATGTGAAGTCACAAAGTTTGAGAGTACAACCCATTGTCTGAACTGTAAGTTTTTAACAAGATACACAATACATAAACCCTATGTAACAAAATAAAAAACATTAAACACTCAATCATACAAAGAACTTTTAACAATCTATAAATTCAAAACATACCATAGTCGCAATCAGTGTTTTCATTGCCTCACAACTGGTGTGTACTGGACGGGAGAATTTTACCACATACAAACAATGAGACCGAGAATAGATTGGGTTACATTAAAACTTTGCATTCACAGGTAAAATAAAACATCTCCATGAAATGAAACATTTACATGAGAATAATAATTCACAGACTTCCTGGCCAAGAATTCATTGCACTGCAGAGAATCAAAACTTAACAGTGCTATATAACAACCTTATTGCTCTTAATGAGTAATGCATTGATAATCAGAAAACATTGTTGCACTCTCTACTGTTTTATATTGACTTGTGTCTCTTCTTTAGTGTTAGTACTATTATTTAACACTCATATAAATACATTTAAAATTACAGTGTATTATATTGCTGTATTCAAGTGATATGAAAAAGGACACAAGGCTATTAATCACCAAAAAATATATTTATTTATATATAATATTTATATAATTATATACACACTCAAAGAAGTGAGTTATTAATAAACCAATAAAACTACTGTCTTTGGAAACTGTTATATTAACCCTTTAGTTAACTATAATTTATAAATTTTAAATGCCAACTGGTAGTAATATGACAGCACTTACATAATGAGCACTAAACTTGTGTCAACTTTGGAGATATTATAATATCTGACAAAATGCACAATATATGCATGTACATTTGTGTGGCACTCAGAGCTTGACATCCACGCATCAAACACAAACATGGGTCATTGTCAACTAGAGGGAATTCTGAATGTTAAACTTGGCACTGCCACCATTTGTTCTTGTGCAAGAGCAGATAACTCTAGCAACCAATCTTGCAGAAGTACTGCACATCTTGCTGCGTGTCGTTTCTCAGCCACAGAGCCCGAACTTGCATTTGGGCCAACACTTGCAACTGATGCTCGTTTTACATACCTTAGGGGAATTAAAACACCTCATGAGTTAACCGATTTACATATAAAGACAAAGAGACATTTAATTTAACATAATCATTTCCATATGTCTGGGAGTGGATATGTCAGTAAATGGAGCAATGAGTGATGAATTGACAACATAGTAACTGATAAAATGAAAGTAATGGGTGTCATGAGAAATGTATGGAGATAAAAAGTGTCAAAGAAAACAAAATTACAGTATAAATATTTGGAGATATTGAGACGATACATATGTCGCTGACAAAGATATTGATACCTGTTAAGGGTAGCCCGTGTCTTCCACAGGGCCACCTAGTTGAGATTATTATTACACCGTCTGATTAGGCCTGTTAAGAGAACCTTTGACATGCCCAGGAATAAAATATGAGTGAGCAGAATGGTGTGCTGACATGCGAACTATTGGGATGCAGAAGGGAGAAGCAAATTACAGTTAACCCTCACTTTACGCGGTCCCACATTCCGCGTTTCCACGTTTACGCGGTGCCCTGCCGGAACCCAGGATGCTCACATTCCGCGGTGCGTGTACCCCTTTACGCGGAGAGCGGCTGGCGAGCCGCGCCATTTTTGGATCCAAACCTCCCGCCATCCGCCATGTTGTGTAAGCGGCGCGAACATGGTGCGCACAAGGTCGCCCAGTCATCAAAACATTACCAGTTCTTCACCCGCCACCCACCACAGCCGGCCCAAGTCAGTGATAGTGATAATTATGGTGAGGATATGGACTTATTTGGACTTTGGGGAGTTTGACAAAGAGGCCCTGCAAGCCTCTGTGGTGGATAGTGATACAATTGATACAAGTGGCACAGGTGAGGGCCAATAATCTGCCCTCTGCCTCGGAACCAACCGCCCATCCCCGTGTGCCCAGCCATTTTTTCTACTAATGTAAGTGTTAAAAAACCTAATATTATTGATATTTCTCTTAATTATTAATTGTGTGTGCATACCATCATAAAGTTAAAATAATATTTTTACTACAACATAGTTGTGTGTAGTCAAAAAGTGGAGTTTGGGGATCGGCCCGGACTCCATTTCAATTAATCCCATATGTTATGTTATTCACTTTACGCGTTTCTCACTTTACGCGGGACCCTCCGGGTTACATTAACCGTGTAAAGTGAGGGTTAACTGTAGAAGTGAAAAAGATCAGTGCCGAAGAGCAACATGTACTGTATGTGGCATGGATAAGAAATACAAAAATCCAATAGAAATACAGTAAGCCCTTGACAACTCGCCATTCGACTTTTTTTAATTTCATATACAGTGACCCCTCGTTTAACGAACACCTCGGTTAACGTAATTTCGATTAACGAACTGCCTTCCATAAGGATCTTCAATTCAGTTAACGAAAAAAAATTCGGTTAACGAAGTTCTTACGAACCGACCTCAACATGTTTTCGCTTGCACTGACCGGGCAACCAGCTTTAGTATCAGTCCGCCAATACATTAATAGGTTCTAGGGCTTAAATTCCTTACTATTTAAGTAAATATCAAGAAATTTATACTATTCAATAATTTTAAAAGTTTAATATTCAATATTTTAGTCATTTTAACAATTATTGAACATAACTGAAGGTAAAGTGACTAGTTTAATGCGCGGCATCCAGCCTCTTAACACAGCAAACAGGCGTTAGTCTCTCTCTGTTTTCACTGGAGGTAACATCTTGCTTGAGACTCTCTTCAACTAAACGCTTTTTTTCTGTGTTTCCAAGCAAATTATTGGTCATTTTGAAATATATTTTACATATTGACAATATATAATGCAGTGCAGTGTTGATTTAAAGAAAATAATCTTGAATTACACCAAAAGAGCTAAAATTTTATGGGTGAAATGGCGCCATGGGGTGACTTCTCTTCCACCCCAATGCCTTCTCTTCTTCCTTCTCCTCCACCCCCATTCTAAATCCCATCATCATCATCATCATCATCCAGGAGCCTTCTACATACACACCTCAAAGTAAGTGAACTTTTTTACCATTTTTGTTGAATTTAGGAAATTTTCGGTGAGCTGGAACCAATTACCCAAAAACCCATTGAAACAATGGTTTCGGTTAACGAACTTTTCGGTTAACGAACGACCTTCTGGAACGGATTGAGTTCGTTAACGGAGGGGTCACTGTAATTCAGCATGTATATGGTCTCAGAATCAATTATAAAATAATTAAGGAAACTCCGAGTTATATAAAATTATCTTGGAAAATCTCAGCATATTTGACCACGTGGGTAAAACCCACAGTGCTGCATTCCACGCTTAGTCAGTCTGGTGTTTGTTATTATTGTGGTCAGGTGTGTGCTAGCTCACTCCACCCAGTACATGGACGTGGGAAGGAAGGGTGCTGTAGCACTCCAATATTTGGGGTATAAAGTACAGTAAAACCTCGAATAACGATAATTTGAATATAGGCATCATATATTTTGCACAAGACATGAAAATTTTAGTACATTAATGTACTACATTTTTGCAGTGTACAAGCTTTTCAACTGTATTTTTGGGTAGATTTACATAACTTTCTTCGTTTATTTTTACTCATTTACATGCACACACCATCCTAAAAAAAAAAGTAAAAGATATAATTGTCTGGTACTTTACTCAAATGTACTAAATAATTACTAAACAATTTATGTTTTACAAGAAGTCCATCAATGTAAAGTTATATTCTGCCAAGTCAATTCAGTGACATTTTATAAGTGAAAAACTTAAACTCCTCTATATGACTGATAAAACACACGGGATTAATGTCCATGCCGGCTGGTGAATGCCTCACTTAACCCCCCCTTCTCCCCCTGCCTGGCTGTCAACACATCACCTCCCCCTTCCCAGGGGTGAAGGTAGTTATAGGCTTAAAGTTTTTATCTTATAAAATGTCACCGACTAAAGTTAGGGGAGGGCCAGCATAAAGTAATGAAAAATTAAGTTGAGAGGAAAGTGAAGGTGCTTGGTGAGTCAGGCGAGAAGTGAGTGATGTGCGGCGCCAGCGAGACCACCCTCTCACATCAGCTGATTGCTAGTAAACAGACCATTTCGCATCCTGTAATTTTAACTGTGTTGATTTTTAGTGTTTGTTTTAGCAAAATTCTCCAAAAAACAATGTTTTGTTTATTCTAGGAGATGGGCTGAGGTGCATCTGGGTAGACTCAGTCTTTTTAGTATTTTGTGTTTCTCTCAAGTACCAAACTAAATTATTCCAGTGAAACAACACTTCGATTTAGTGCCAATTCGGTTTAAAGCGACCTCTCTTGGAATGTATCTCGTGTTATATTGACGTTCTACTGTATTAACCCATTAACACCCAACAACCTTCCCCATTCATGTCAGGCCAGCCACTGTATGCAGAACGTCTGCACTATTACAATAAATCTAATGTCGTAGACATTGTTTAATTTACAGTGCAATTCATTTTACCTCAATCTTCCAGGTATCCCAACTTTGTCCCCTTTGATAAAAATTTTAATTTAGTCCAACAATCCAAAAGCAACTGAAGTCATTTATTCATGTGTCGAATGCCAGTAGTGCTATAACAGATATGTAAAAAAAAATTGCTATGATAAACAATAAAATTGATACATAGCATATCATAAAATACAATAGCACATATTTTATGTACAAAAATAATAGCTCCTTCCACGCTCAAACCATCATCTAAGTGATGCCACAGTTCAGCCAGTCAAAAAGCTGACTGAGACGTGTGTGTGTGTGTGCCATGACATCACATGGGAGGGAGGGAGGTGATGACTGAGACGTGTGTGTAATAATAATAAAAATAATAATAATTAACGGTTTATTGAAAGAGCTTGGCAGCCAGAAGGCTGAAAATACACTGTACAGTTATACAATTGGGGAATGGGTTTCGATTTGCAAATAATATACAAATAACATAAGTGATACAAATAAGATATATAATAACTAGATGGGGAAAAGCTCAAACTACAGGGGATTTCAACATTTTTAATTCCTGCTATCGGAGAGTTCCAGGTTTGAGGGATTCCGGCTAACGGAGATATTACTTTGTCATTCAACTTCTCCTTTTCTCAAAATAAGTGATTTTAGACGTATATAAGGACTTAGGCTATGATAAAGTGGGAATTTAAACCTTTTTCTGTAAGTACGGTATGCACATAGGTGATGCGTTGACAGCCAGGCAGGAAGGAGGAGGGGGGCGAGGTGTAGTATTCACTAGCCAGCGGGGACATTAATCATGTGTGTCTTATCTGTTTTTAGCTCATAAAATGTCACTGAATTGACCAGGGAGAATATAAATTTACAGAGCTGGAATTCTTGTAAGACAGTGATTAATTTGAATATAAGCATGCTATAGTTTGCACTAAACATAAAACAAAATTAATTATTTAGTATATTTGAGTAGAGTGCAGGACAATTATTTATTTTACTAAATTTTTTTTAGGATGGTGTTTGCATGTAAATGAGTAAAAAGAAATTAAGAAAGTTATGGAAATCTACCCAAAAATACAGTTGAAAAATTTGTACAGTACATTAATCAAATGTACTACACTAATGTACTAAAATTTTTATCTCTTGTGCAAAATATATGCCTATATTCAAATTTCACTGTCTTGCAAGGATTCTAGTAATGCAAGTTGACATAGTAAAGTTCTGTATAGTGAATGGCAATAATCACATATGTGGTAGCATTCCAGACATTTTGTGATGGTTAAATTGTAATCACCTTGAAAGTGGCATTGGAACTTAAAAATGATGATAAGATTCAACTGTAAAAGCGATTGCTATACAGTAACATCTCCGTTAGCCGGAATCCCTCTTAACCGGAACTCTCCGATAGTTGGAATTGAACTTTTATTGGAAAATCATTCCCAAAGCCAGAATTTCCCGGAAAATTTTGGCTTTGAGAATGACTTTCAAAGGGGCACATTTTCTTAGAAAATTATGAGAAAATTTTCCCAGTACCCAGAAAATTCACAGGATGGGGAAATTTCTTTGTTTTCTGGGGTTGAGAGATGAAAATCAGGCACATTTTCTGGAACTTCCGAGAAAATTTTTCGTTACCCGGAAAATTCCTGAAAATTACCCGGAAATCTCGCATTCCCGGAAGTGCTCTGGACCAATTGTTCCGGCTAACAGAGATATCAATATAAAGTACTTGAATGGTTGCATTATATTGTACACATTAACTAAGACATGGATATACTAACTTTAACGATTGTGTAGGTGGTCTGAGTACACAGGTGGTCAGATTACGAGTTTTCACTATTTCTGCCATTTTTAGGAAGAATTTATCCCTAATATTTCCTTTTAAGCAAATTTTGATTTTATAATTGTAGAAAAATTGAGGTTATCCGAGTCAAATTCTAGTCATTCATATCCACAATCTGACTAGGATGTTGGGCATATTAAGGTGGATCCTAGCAAAGTGTCAAGTTAACATCACTGGCACCAATATCATGATGTAATGATACAGTTCAGCTCATATTTAAATGAACCTGTTACAAGCTTATAGTGTCTAGTTTTGAGAGTGACTCCATACTGACAACATATGAATCTGGAAGATAAAGTTATTGGGATAAAACAATTAAAATTATTATTATTATTATTATTTTCTTTGTTTTTTAAACTTTAATTTCTGAACCCTTATTCGTTAATTGAAAAATCACAATTTCACCTCCACATGTGAAAAGGGAATGCAAGGAACAAGATCGTGTCTCATGATAATAGCTGCTGTCCCGACAGCTAACTTTCAAAGATGATGGTTGCCATTTGAGGGTTAATGTTGCAATTGGCAGAATAAATAATTTCTACTTCATAATGGTGAATTATTAGCCTCACCTGGCTCCCAAACAATTAAAACAATGTGCATTAGCAATTACCTGTAGCCAGATTTGTCAGGAAGATCCTCAAGGGGATTCTCTTTTATTGCCGGCCGCTCAATATTAGTGTTACGGCGAAACAAGGCGGACATTGTCTGTGAGATACTGCGTCGCTTTCCTTCTCCTGTCAATGATAAATGACTACATCATCACTGATGAACAAGAATATTAAACACCAAAATGTATTGAGGTAAAAACTCAGAATTCCTCTGTGATGGTGTTTACAAATGGCTATAATAAGTAAAACTTTACCACAATGAGCTAACTTAAAACCTATATCACAATTTTTAACAACATATCTTCCTATCCATATCACATCAGGAACTTTATCCTTTTGACTGTGAATAGAGTACAAAAGTCTTTTTTTTTATGTCCATTATAAAAAACTTATATGAAAAACTTGGGCTTTTTTAACATTTTACAAACTAATATGTACTGTACTAAATTTTTTGTTAAGTTATAGGAACAAATAATAATTAAAGGAAAAAAGGATTGACTTCATAATAAATTCTGATAATCAATTTAGTTTTACCTCTAATAAGAGGGGTTTCCGTTGAAGATGACGACACTGAACGTGTGCGTGGAGTGGAGGGAGAGTAGCGTGGAACAATCAGTCTCATAACAAACCACGACCTGGCTTCGGATAAATGAGTGACATCTTCAGTTGTAAGAACTCCATCAATTCGCTGCTTCAGACCACTTACCACCTGAGTAAAATCACCACAAATTTTTTATGTGCAATACAATCTCCATCACAGTATAAATAAGATATCATTCAATACTTCAAACACAATCACCTCCCTATACAGGGGGACCTCGCTATATGCTGTACCAGTATGTGTCATGACACATATAAGCTGCTAACAAATATAGGAGGAAGAATTTTCATTATACGTCAATTGTTTAATATACTATACACATCATCCGCTGTTTTATACTAAGTCTGTGTGTACCTGAATATTATTCATAAATAACATTAAAAGCACACAATATAATGTAAAAATAACCATAACAAGTAATAAAAATGCCCTAAGATTTAAGTTTCTACCATGTCAAAATACATCAGTCACCTCTCACACAACTGTGCAAGTGTGACTTATCAACAAAGAAAATGCTGTATACAGTACTGTACAGTAGCTTTAGACCATCACTTGGCACCAATGACAAGATCTTTGCTGCCCGCCACATACAGGAAAAGTGCCTTCATCGACCTAACCAAGGCCTTCGACTCGGTCAACAGGGAAGCTCTCTGGCGGACCCTCAGCAATTTTGGCTGCCCACCAAAACAATACTCATTGCCATTGTGAGGCAACTCCATGATGGCATAAACGGTAGTGTCCTGCACAATGATACCCATTCAAATGGGGGTAAAACAAGGATGTGTACTGTTTTAACAAATGCATCTGAGCAAGTTTACTGAACTTCAGTAGGCAGACAACCTCACCCTTGTCACTCGCTGAAAGTGACCTACAGGAGATCCTGAACACCTACACAAATGCTTATGCAAACTTTGGCCGTAAGGTGAATGTACATCAGACTCAGATTCTCTTTCAGCCTGCCTCTGATTCAGTCACACCTCCACCATCCATCCAGCTTAACGGTACTACCCTCTCTAATGTTACCCACTTTCAATTTCTCGCCTCCCACCTGTCCACCACCGCAGACATCGATGAAGAGATTCAACATCAGATCATATGTGCATTTCAAGCCTTTGGCAGACTACAAAACCGTGTCTTCAGCTGTAGGGAGCTGAAATTATCTAAAAAGTTACACATATATAGAGCAGTGATCCTCCCCACCCTGTTATATGGCAGCGAGACATGGGTCACACACAGAAGGCACCTTACGGCACTTTAAAATTTTCACCAACATAATCTACGTTCCACCCTCCGAGTTCGCTGGGAAGATGAGAACAAATGCCAATATTCTCGCTGACACCAACTATAGGAGCATCGAGGTACTATTATCCATGAACAATTACATTGGACTGGCCATGTTACCGACATGGAGATTTTATTATCACATCGATTAGCCTCTGTCACATATTGACACATTAATATTATATAAATATGAGCTAATGACATATATTCATTATACAGGGGGTATACATTCTATCACCCAGACTATTGAGCATACGCTACAAAAGCATTTGTTTTTTCACACCTCAGGCATATAGCCCATAAGACTACAGACTCAACCCTCAGTGTGTGGGTAGGCTCTTTAGTTAATGGCTGTGTTGAAGTGTGGTTACTCTCCAACCACCAGTCAACAGACTCAAAAGAGTTCAGCCCAGTTATCTCCAGTTCACGGCCTAACACGATGCCCAAAAGTCGTGTCGTGAGACCAGCTCTCTAGACTGTACCCCTCTCTAAATATATCGGCTAATTTCAAGCTAATAGCTAATGCTCATTAATCTGTCAATACCAAATAATTGTACACACATTACTACCCAATATAACTAGAAAATCACCACGTGTGTTTACATTAAACCAAGGAACAACGGAGTGAAGAGAACATTACCTGTGTGTCTTGTTTTACTTACAAGCTAAGATAATTTTAAGTACAACCCAGGACAGCTGTGACAATTTCAACTTTCAACCAATCTACGACTGTATCAAAGGTGACATGCCGTGAGATTACATGAGATCTTACTCAGCTGCATCAAAGGTACCAGCAATGAACCGACACTCATTCAGGCAAGTGTTAACCAGTGAGATAGTTTGATAGCCTATCACAGCTAAAACAATTGGAACGCTTGGAGGAGCACCACACACGAAGGTGTCAATACTTTCGAGTTAGCCCGATTGCAGACCGAGGCGGACAAGCGCCAACACCGGAAAGACGCTGCCGCCGCCCCTCCCACACTAGATGGAGCCATCCACATGTGTAACATCTGTGAACAACCCTGCCGGTCCCATATCTTCCTCTTTAGTGACCTTAAAACTCACAAACAAAGGTGATATCCTTAATAACTCGTATCATTGTATCATAGCTGGATGATCGTCATACCCAATTCAGAGAGACAGCAAAGTAGTAGTAGTAATATAAAGACATAAGAAAAAAATAAGAGTGTAGGGGCAGGGGTGCATCCACAATATCAAAGGGGTGTCTAATTCGTTGTGGGTGGATGAACATGGCGAGCACAGCTGGGAGGGGTTGGGGTCGATGTAAGCCCCCAGAAATTTTTTTATATCTGACCAATATTCATTGGCATTTTGAGGCCATGTGCACTTGATATTAGGAGATATTCTGAGGTCAACAGTAATTAATTTTTACAATACAAAAATGCTTGAGTACAATACTGCATAAAAGAAAAAGTACAGTATTTTCTATAGCGAAACGTTTCCGTCCCGGGCGAGAGGGTGGCGCGTCTCGGGTCGCCTCGTGGGTACACTCACTCAGTGGAACGCTTTGTTGGTGTTCGGCTATCGTATTTTATACTGATCGCACTGTGAACTTTCATTATTATCGTATTTAATTGACTTTATAATGACTGGAAAGCGTAAAAGTGAGAGTGCTGGTGGTGCTCCAAAGAAAAGGAAACAGGCAATTACTTTTGAGATGAAAATGAAGATAATAACACAGCATGAGAATGGAAAAACAGTAGCAACAATCTCACGCGACCTAGGTTTCTCACACTCGACTATATCCACTATTCTGAAGGACAAGGAACGTATTCGTAAAGTAGTGAAAGGAACAACACCTATAAAGGGAACTATAATATCAAAGAAAGACAAGGTCCTATTCACGATATGGAAAAATTATTGGTGATATGGATTGAAGACCAGATACAGAAGCGTGTACCCTTAAGCCTTCTAACCATACAGGCTAAAGCAAGAAGCCTGTTCCAAAGCCTGAAGGAGCAGGTAGGAGATGAATGTGATCAAACCTTTACAGGAAGTCATGGGTGGTTTGATAGATTTAAAAAATGCTACAGTCTACATAATGTTAAGGTGAGTGGAGAGGCAGCTAGTGCCGATGTTGGTGCTGCCGAATCTTTTAAGGAGGAGTTAGATGATGTGATTGTGGAAAGGAATCATTTGCCTGAGCAAATATTCAATGTGGATGAGACTGGATTATTGTGGAAGCGCATGCCTGAGCGGACATACATCCACAAAGAGGCGAAAACAATGCCCGGATTCAAGGTATTCAAGGAAAGAATTACACTTCTGTTGGGGGGGAATGTTGCTGGTTTCAAGCTAAAGCCCTTCATGATCTATCATTCAGAGAACCCCAGGGCTTTTAAACATGTCAGCAAGCACACACTGCCAAGGTTTTATCGCAATACTAAGAGAGCCTAGATGACCTTAGCACTGTTTGAGGATTGGTTCATGACTTATTTCATTCCACGAGCCAAGGAGTATTGTCTGCAACAACAGATTCCATTCAAGATTTTACTGATTTTGGATAATTCTCCGGGACACCCACCACACCTGGACGACATGCACCCTGATGTTAAGGTAGTGTACATTCCACCTAACACTACCTCTGTCATCCAACCCATGGATCAAGGTGCTATTGCTGCCTTTAAAGCGTATTATTTACGCACGACCTTCGCTCAGGCTGTTGCTGCTACTGAAGGTGAGAAAACGCTCAGAGAGTTTTGGAAGGAGTACAACGCTTTGTCATGTATAAAGAACATTAGTGCAGCATGGGATCAGGTTACAAAACATTGCTTGAATGGAATGTGGAAGAAAATCCTGAAAAGATATGTGAACAGTTTCAAAGGATTTAATGAAAATGAAGTTATTTCGGATATTAATAACAAGATAGTGGAGTTAGGTAAACAGCAGGAGTTAGAAATTGATAATGAAGATGTTGAACAGTTGGTTGAAAGTGTAGCAGAAGAGCTCAGTAACGAGGATCTTATTGAACTAGATGTACAGAAAATTGCAGAGGAAGAAGAGAGACTAAATGTAGAAGAAGAACCTGCACCCCCCAAAAAGTTTTCAGTGAAACATATGGCAGAGGCATTTGCTACAATTAATAAAGCAATGCAAATGTTTGATGGCATGGATCAAAATTATGAGCGTTATGTCAAAGTTGACAGAATGATCCAAAATGCATTTGCTTGCTACAGAGAAATTTATAATGAAAATAAAAAGCAAACTGTGCAGTCTAAATTGGACATCTATTTCAAGAAGTCCCCCAGTGCTGTCTCCTCACGCCCCACCAGTGCTGCCTCTTCACTCCCTAAAGATGATCCAATACCTTCAACCAGCAAGTTTCCACAGCACATAAACCTGTCTGAAGAAAGCGACATTGATGACCCACCCAGCACTGTCTCCTCTTCTGCTTCTTCCAAATAATATAGTTTCCATGTATCCTGTAAATAGAAAGTTATGGGGGCCCTGTGTGCATTCAGCTGACTACATTTAAGGTTAAGTGCTCAGTCACACTGTATCCATTCCTCATTATTTATTACTTTTACTGTACTGTATCCATTCCTCATTATTTATTACATTTAGTGTACTGTATTTCATTGTAGATTTTTTATATTTTTGGAAAAAAAAAAAAAAAATTAGAATTTTTTTTTTTTTTCAATTTTTCTTTTTCTTTTTTATCTATGTCGGACTTACGACCTGGATTTGGGTCCCTAACCCCGTCGTAAGTCAGGGAGCACCTGTATAAGGGGTTTGGCACAAGGGCCATTACTTGATCACACACCAGTCAAGATGTATGATTTTCTCACATTCCCAGTTCCCCACAACAGAATTGTAAATAATGAACCTGCACTTACCTTTAATATACCATACAGCTTTTCACAAACCTATATTATTAATGTAAATTTTATATGATTATCTTTGTCCTTTCATCCTAGATACCCAGAATCATATGACTTCGTACTTACAGACAGAGGAACCGTTTCTAAACTTTTTATGTTTTTGGAATTTCAGATAAATGATTTTTGACCAGTATTAGATACATATTTAGACACACATGACATATATATGTTATCAACTTAATCAGATGATTGCATTATTATTTTTAAATTGTCTGGTACAATGCACAACTTTGAATTGGACATTACCAATATTGTAATGCTGGAACATTTACTAACCTGTACTAGTGATCGAACAGACGGTTGGAAGACAATGGATGTGTCGAGTAGCAGCGAAGATAGTAGAGGTGTGGGGTAAGAGGCGAGGTGGCTCAAGATTGTGGTCACCAGCAGGTTGACGTGAATACTAGATGACAACATCTGATCAATACGTAACATCAAGGCCTCCAAGAATGGTCCTGTCCCAAACACAAAATTTAGATCATTATCACCATCATATTCTTGTAACTTTCATACTTCTCTTGTACCACTTTCTTTAATATTCTATATTTATCTGAAGTTTCTACCAATCAAGAATGGGAAAGAAATACAGTACACAATAGCCAGATCATTTTTCAATATACAAAACCTTTTTTTATAATATACAGGTGCTCCTCAATTTACCTACATTCAAGGATACAGTATGAACATTATCATTGAGAAGAGTTATCTGCCAGAGTAGGTGTTAAAGTGGATAAGACAGGATTATATTGAAGAAAATGCCCGAGAGAACAAACAATACCAAAGAGGAGAAGAGTGTGCCAGGTTTTAAAGCTGTACAGTAGGGTATAGCTCTAGTGTGCATCCTTTATTTTATTTTATTTTACTTTTTTACAATATGTTTGTATCTACAACAGGAGTAAAGCTCAGTAACATATGTAGAGGAACACCTGTCAGTATATATATACAGTGAACCCTCGCTTTACGCGGTTTCACTTTACGCGTTTCTACATTTACGCGGTACCCTGCCAGAACCGGAATTCCCACTTTACGCGGTGCATCTACTCATATACGCGGGTGAAGTATAATTTTTTTATTTAGCTCATAAAATTCATACAAATTATCCAGCCAGAATATAATTTACATTGCTGGAGTTCTTACAATTTGATGATCATTTTGAATATAAGCATCATAGATTTTGCATTAGACATACAAATTTTAGATCTAATGCAAGTATTTTGTTTACTCTGAGCAAATATGTTATCTTTTGTGCAAAATATATGACGTGTATATTCAAAATATTCCTGGTCTTGCAAGGAATCCAGCAATGTCAATTATATTATCCTAACTTTAGTCTGAGGTATTATTTATTACTAAAAATGTAAATATACTGTTATAACCCAATCATTTCTCTGGTAGGGAGGGAAGGTGGGGGTGAGGGGTAGGGAGGGAGGGAGGGACCCAGGGAGCAGGTGGGAAGAGGGGGGGAGGTGGGGTATTTTGATTGACAGATAGTATTTCGGTAAGTATATTTTGTTTATTTATTGAAGATATTTGTTTTAGCTCATAAAATTCATACAAATTACCGGGCCAGAATATAATTTACATTGCTGGAATTCTTACAATTTGATGATCATTTTGAATATAAACATCATAGATTTTGCATTAGACATACAAATTTTAGATCTACTTTAAGTATTTTGTTTACTCTGAGTAAATATGTTATCTTTTGTGCAAAATATATGACATTTATATTCAAAATATTCCTGGTCTTACAAGGAATCCAGCAATGTCAATTATATTATCCTAACTTTAGTTTGAGGTTTTATTTATTACTATACCTTAAAATCTAGTGGTTTTCCCCAAAACATTTCTCAGAGAGGGAAGAGCCAGCGAGTGTAGTGTGAGAAGAGGGGGAGGGAGTGGAGTCCATTATTTGAATGGACATTAACTTGGCGACTGTATTTCTCTATTTTTCTTAAGTATTAATTGTGTGCATGTACTATCATAAAATTAAGATGTTATTTTTACTAGAACATATGTATTGTGTCGGAAAAAGTGGAGTTTGGGGGTCAGCCGGTCTCTATTTCATGTAATCCCATATGTTATGTTGTTCACTTTACGCGGGCCTCCGTGGGTTCAATTGACCGCATAAAGTGAGGGTTCACTGTATACAGTGACATTGATGGATTGGCCAAAACGGTAGCATATGGTCCCTTAACACCTCGATATAATTAGTTCCCTTCATCGTGACATTCTTGGGAAGGAAGTACAGACCTCCCCTACCCTCACAACCACTAAAAGCACCCCACACCATCACACTATCCGGATGCTTCACTGTCTTGACGGTGTACTTTGGAGAGTACCGCGACACATTCTTGGGCCGATGCATGATCTTCGAGGCACCCCTCACCAGCCTAAAGGTGCTTTCATCACTAAACATCACCTTCTTCCAGTCGTGTGATGTCCAGTGCTGGTATTTCATGCAGAAATTAATCCTCTTCTTCATAGCCTCGGTGAGAAGAGGCTTCTTAGCTGCGTGCCAAGTCGGTAAACCGAGGTCTTTCTAGAGACGATGTTGTACGGTTCTGATTGCCACATGTTTGAGGAGGTCTGGGTGCTTTTTCTTCAGTGTAGAAGCTGTTACAGCAGGATCAGACATCACTTCACGCTTCAGGATGTTGTCTGTCCTTATTGAGGTCTTCCTAACAGCCCCAGATCCCAGTTTCCTCTTCGGTATAGCTCCAGGTGGTAATGGCGCCGCCGCGTGTTTGAGGTTGTAAATGGCTTGCCTTGAAACTTTTAAGTCTGCAGCTACACGTATCACACACATCCCCAGTTCTAATTGGGTTAAAGCCCGAGCTTTTTCATGTAGTGTGAGCTTGTTTCGACCCATTCTTTTCAGTTTGGGTGGAGATATAGGCTCTCAAAGTTGGCGCACGTGTGGAGAATGGCGGGTGGCGGAGCTACGTATATTTGCACCTCTCTCTATCAGAGCGCGAGGCAGGCGAATGGTTATGCCAGCAATACTAACATAAACAGTTGCACTTTAGCGAGCATTTTGCTTTCACGTATCTGAACAGGAACAGGAGAAAAACTTTCTCAGGTATCTTACGGCATTTTTGTGCTCCTATTCAACATCAGCAAGTGATGATAGTGATGGTTTAAAAGCTAAAAGAAAGTGTATAAGGTTAGCCGAGAAACTAGATCTGTTAAAACGATATGAAAAAGGTGAGAGGTCAGTGGATATTTCACACTCTTTGGAGATGTTGGAATCAACAGTGAAAATTATTTGTAAGACTGAACTCACTGAAGAAGCAAAAAGAAAGTGTTCAGTTGATAAAGAGAATGTTGAGGAGCTATTACAGAGAAGACCTAACAAATGAACAACTTATGTAACTTGAACAAGAGCACGAAACACACCAACAGATTACCCCCACCTCACCTTCTCACAAATTTACAACAATATTGGCTGTGTCCTAAGTTGTCGACTTTACCACCACTGGTGAGTAGAATTTTTGTTTTACATTCATAAACATGAACAGTAAAAAGTGTTGCCTTCATATTCCTATGTAGAGAAATGATGCGATGTTTTCACGTGTGCATACGCACATACAATGGCCTTGCGCAATCCATCTCACTTTTTTCTTTACCATTAGTGGTTACTTCTACTGTACATTAAATAACATACATTAAAACATACAAATTCAATTTTTTTATTAATTTTATTACAGCGATAACTAAGGTCTTATTTTCTTCAGTTTCATATGGAGAACCATCGTCATGGGTGTAAACACTAATGAAAACAATGCCATCTCGTCTCCTCTTGTGTGTCTTAATATTCAATGTAAGCACTACTGTAACCTCAGAAGCACACTCCTTCAGATCATGATGAGAGATGCCATCCAGGATGTATGCCTTGAGTTCCATGAAAGTATGCTGCAAAAACTCTGAGAACATATATAATGACGAGAAAGAGAGAATTAATGGCAAATCAGGTGGTAAAGGAAACTGGAATTATTCAAAATGGAATTAGATAAAAAATGAGCCACAGAAGCTGTTACTGAATAGTAATGCCTTTCCAGAAAAGATAGGGGAAGGTAGAATGGCAGAAGTTGTTTGTTTGATATACTTTTGGTCAATAGAAGGAAAAAAAACCCAGAGCAGTGTTAGTTAAATGTAGTATAGTATTGTATAGGATATTTTCTAACTCTGATATGCCAGGTCACTTCTCCATATGTCTCAGAACAGGGATGACTGAACCCAGGGCCGGCGCTACCCACTAGGCGATCTAGGCGATCGCCTAGGGCGCCAACGTCTGGGGGCGCCACAAATTCAGGGCAAACTTGGATAAAATTAAAAATGAAGGGAAAACTGTGGTGGACACTGTGGTGGAGCCGTGGAGGGTCGGAGCAGGATGTTAGAAGGGGGGAGAGTCGGAGGGAGGCGAGGGTGGGTAGACGGTAGCCGACTGTGTTTTCTCTTTTAATATTATTCGTTAATCCCCCGGAGGGACTAACCCGGGTCCTTATCTTTGGCGGCCTGGAGAACTGTCGAGCAGTGACCTGAAGGCTGACATCTGAGGAACCCTTCTCCCTACCCCACCATCCCCTCCCCTCCCTTACTGCCAGGGCGGCTGAGCCGCCCCTTCCCTGCCTTTGTCGGGATGAGGCAAGGTTACCTGACCTCTGAAGTTTGACCTCGCATAACATAATCCCACTGAGACTGGCCAGCGGTTATAACTTGCAGGAGGCTGGAGCGAGCTAAATGCTTATGATGTTATTATTTTTTAAAGATTACCCCAAAATAAAAAAAATAACTAAAAATTGTTTCATTGACATTTACGTCAAGGATTTATTGACTTAATGTAATAACAATAATTGGTTATTTGCGTGGATGAAGTAATAAAGCCACAAGATGAAAATTATGTTATCAGTGGTGTTTCGAGTTAGAAACAATGTAGTAATGGGTTACTGTACCTACATTAGCTTATCAAAACTTTCAAGGGGGCGCACATCTAAAGGCTTGCCTAGGGCGCCAAATCATCTTGCACCGGCCCTGACTCAACCAATGATTATATGAGTGTTAGTGAATGAGTGGGTGTACTCATCCATTCCAGCAAAAAGTACTTCTGGCAGAGACAGAAGTATCTCTCACACAATGAGCAGAAGCTTCCTGCTATGGAGCTCCTCTTCCATAATTGAGATCCCTAGACACCCATCTGATGCTTCATACAACACATCAGTAGCATGTCTATCCCCAATAACAGCTCAATGTCATACTTTCCAGTCATTCATGCACACTACCGCTTCCCTGATGACCATCCCACTCTATCTGGTGCCTCTTTCAACCCCATTCTTCCATTATAACATCCATGTTGTTTCTTACAGAAAAGAGGATATACTACAAAAACTGAGATAATGGCACTTGTAAATTAAATTAGTGTTTACCAATTGTTGGTCTTGACTGTGACTCTGGTGCAGAAGCCTTCTCAACCACTTCCGGAGAAGAGTCATGACCAAGCCAGGGTGGACTGTCCCAGTCTCCTTCTTCACCCATAATCTCCAGCTGATACACCTGGAAACACACCTCATCAGAAGGCCATCATACACATCAGTGCCAAGGAAACTACACCAAATACTCAGGGGTGAGTACGTATTTATTTTAATCTATATACCCCATCTACAATTCTATCCATCTGCAAATCTTTATCTCTTCATTAATCTTACTTATTTTTCTGTACTTGCTTTAAGCATTAATATATTGTAGTTTGAAATAAAAGATATTCCCCCTTGACTGATTTTCATTCAATTTATCATTTACAATCTTTACTACTTCTGTTAAGACATAAAAAAAAAACTTACCTTATTGTAAGACTTCGAGGGACTAACATCATATATCTTGAAAGCAGTAAATGCTTGGTCAATTTCACTAATAGTTTCCTCAAGTCCAGTGAGTTCTGTTGGAGTTGATGACCTTTGCAAAGAATCAATAAACTCCTGGTCTTCTTCACTTACCATTCCAGAACCTTGTCTCTCTCTTGAGTAACTTTGTATTGGCCCTTGGTGAATTAACTGGTTTCTAGGTGATCCATGAGAACTATCAACTGGAGAAGAATCCCTCGATGCTCTAATATTAAAACTCTCATAACCACTGCTCTCTCCAAGTGAATCAAGATTATCTTCATCCCCATTTTGGCCAGTTACTCCTCTACCTCCCAGAGCTCCAGGTTGAGCTGATCTGCTTATGTTATTTTCACAATCACATATACCATTGAGCACTGGTTTTACTTCACTTTTACTAGTTCTGTCATCAGATGGGAAACTGGAGCTGCGAATTTTAGAGTCTGCTTGTGTTAAGTCTGTAGACTTAATAGGTGTGGGATCAGAGTGAGCTCGTAGCTTGGCATATAGCATTGGTGGGTTGACCCGAGCAGTGTTTAACATTTCTACAGCTTGAGAAGGTGAGGGGTGAAGGCCATCATATCTCCATGTCCAGTGGGCACATGCAGCAATACTCCCTGCTATTCTCATTTGAGCTTCTTTGAGGTACTGTGAATATGTTGTTGGTTGGTCTAGAAATATTGAATCACTCTCTGAAGAGCAAGTAGAAGCATTGGATAAAGATCGTTGATGGCGTGGTACAGCTATTATGACTGGTGAAGACTGGGGTATAGATGATGACTGTTGGGCATTCGATGCTTCTAAAGTTTCCGACTCCATTTGACAGCTTTCTACCTGGTATAAAGTGTGCTGTTACCTTCAAACTATAGGAAGTATTATGGACTGCATATCATTATAATGAACAAAACACTCCTATAGATTTGAGGAGTGAGTAATATGCTACACAATGTAATAATAATTTTTCAACATTTCTCAGAAAATACAAAGGTGAAATTCACTTAACAGATCGATAATTTTTTGGAAGAAAAGGGTTGCCATTAGTGAAGGGAAAGTCCTCCACTGCATCACACCAAAATACAAGGCCACTAACACAAAAATTGCTGATCACTGAATTCATTTGAGATCTCTTTGTGTGCATCCATTCACCAAATAGTACAAATCCAGGGTATTTATTTAAATTATTCTGTTCACAGCTTCTTAATGTAAAAGTGGATGGATAGACATAGGAACTGAAAATCTGTTTCTCTTTTATTGATTTATGGATTTTTTTTCGGGGGGATGGTGGCAGCATCCCCTCCTCAAGTCATAATTCAAGGCGCAGTTCTCCCCTCACCCCATCACCCTAAATGCGTTCATGAAATTGAAATTATTAATGATTATGTTGATGATATTCAAACACACCTTATGGGAATTTCCAGCTTAAATTGATAACAAATGAAAAAATTTCATAATACAGTAAAAAAAAATTACGAGCAAAGGTGTTGCCTATGGCCGTATGTGGATGGAGTTTTATAGTGATATTTGTAATATTTATGCAGTTGTGTATGATTCCCCCTCCCCACGTCCCCTTGGGTAGACATATGAATGATCGTGGTAAAATATTTGCAACTCAAAATATGGAATAAATAGCACAAAAAAGACTTTCGAAATTAATTTCAGGTAAATTTCTTCCTCTCTGGCAAGTGTAGAGAGGTAGAAAAGTAGTGGAGAAATACAGCCTTGAAAATTTAGAAAGGGGTGAGAAAGGATGTAAAGGGTTGAAAAAATTTAAAGGGTAGAAGGGAGTTATGGGGCTAGAATTGATGTACATATGATTCTTAATTGATGACAGGAATATCATAACAATCGACAGAAATTAAAAGCACCTACACCGAAAATCGGACTCCCCTCTTAACTGGTTTTCGGTTTGATATACAGTACAAATAATCCAAACTAACTTTTATCTCCTTGAATTGATCCAATGCTCCCTCCCACGCAAAGACTACTAAAGGGTAGAGAAATCAATGATAATATTTACACTTTTGAATGAGTACTTCCTTTAGATTATTTATACAATAACTCGGTAAAACACCAAGGTTCTCAACACAAGTATGAAATACTCAAAATACTACAAGAAAATTTTTGTTTAAAATGGCAGTGCAATAGGATATTTCAACAAGTATTTTTTAAGTGTATTTTCAATTAATAAAAAGAATAAGTAACAAAATACTGTACTTAATATTTTTCAAACTTGTCCATGGAGGGAGGCTACAGTACTACACCTGTACAGGTAAAGTTCTTACAGGTCATGTCATGGATAAAAGAATAAATAAAGAAACTTCATTTATTATTGACCTGCCAATAGTTTTTAGAAGCATAGTTTATTGACCTTTATTATTTGGTCTATGTAATTTTGGTTAACAATGGTTAGTCCTCAGAATCATAATACCCAAGGCTCTTACTCCTACCCTAATTTTAAAATCAAGGTGAAGCCTTGTTTCTGTATCCCCCTTCTGGGACGACAAGCATCACAAATGCATAATGATTAGACCAATTATTTATTGTAAGAGTAAAATTGGTGTGGGTAACTAACCTGACACACCTCTGGTATGAGATGCACAAGCTTATGAGAAGACTTGGCTGCAGGATTAGGAGGCTGTGTGAGACGGGAACGCTGGGAGAGCATCACATGTGTGCATGGAGTGAGGTATTGGAAAACAAGTGCCACCATCAGGTCTTCACAATTCAGTTCAACCAATGTCCAAAAGAGACTTAATGTAACTAGACAAAGTTGCTGAAATGAAAGGATAAATGATGTTAAAACTGTATGCATCATAATAATGGACAAACAAATTAATCAGAGGCACATAAGACTTCCTTGCAGGATATACTTTCACTGCCTCATTTGCCTCATTACTGTGCAGAAGTGTAATGAGAATATGGAAGTCGAGGCATTGATGACCAATGAGCCTAGCAAAGTATGATTGGCAACAAGAACCAGTACAGGTACCTCTCAATTTACATGTTTGTTTTATGCCATTTTTAGAATAATGCGCATACTGTTATCCATTTACTCTACACTTTTTTTTTATTTATATGGGCTGAAGTTTGGAATAACGAGACCGTCAACACACATCGTCATTGGGCTGGCAGCGTGGAGCTGTGACGTTGCCAGAGCTGTACAAGAAGAACGTGTTGAGTGGGTATGCAGCTTCCCGCCCTGCAGTCCTCAGTGCGCTGATACAGTCTATAGTCACGAAGTGCTACAGTATAGCATATATTGCACTTGTATTGCCCCTTGCATCATGCCACCAAAGCATCCATTAAGATCTCCTGGAACCAGTGGTGTTAAGAAGCGCAAGGCCATCACCATTGAGATTACAATGGATGTGCTCAAACGTCGAGAAAGAGGTGAACGAACAGCTGATATTAAGTGTGCCTTTGAACTTGGTGAATCCACTTTATAGAATATTCATGAGAATGCAGATAAGATCAAGAAGAGTGCCAAGAGAGGAATATTAATCAGTGCATCTAAAACCTCGTATCCCGGAAGTTCAATTAAGGAGGAAATGGAACGATTGTTGAGTACCAAATCCATGAAAATGTTCCAGACAGCATGCTTGTGATACAGTACAAGCAAAGACCCAAAGTATTTTTTATTTCCTGGTATGTGTATACAGCACTTTAGTTTTTCACTGGTATAATATTGGGTACTGTCTTAATAATAACAAAACCCCTTAATCTTCACTATTCACATTGTGTGATTTATGCATTTTTTTTATTTACATGACCATTTTCAAAAATGTAATTATTGCATAAATTGAGAGGTTCCTATCGTGAGAGAAATGAGGTTCAGTGTAAAGTATGTAACAAACAATAAATTTTGATTTATACAATTATTCCTGTGGCATAAAATAAAATCATTACAAATATCAAGTGTAGTACAAAAAACTTACAGTATTAGGAGTGTGGAGTCTTGATATAAGAATAGTGATAATAGGAGGCTCCACTGCAGGATTATTTGGAGAGGTGAGGAGGAACGCCAAAAATACTCTACGCAGCTCTGGTTCTGTCACTGTACGCAAGCACAGCTCCACATATGTTGTGGCTGCAACAACCTCCCCAACCACTGACTGCTGGCATAAAAAATCTTATATTAGAGTAGATATATTGATTCCATTTAATTCATTGACAATGATAATCTGATAACTGAAACAAATAATTTATAATCTTTATTACCACATTACTGACTACCTGTACTGTATCTACTCAACATTTAATTTTCAAATTAAACAGGAAATGCTAAAAATTCGTACGGCTTATTTAAACATACACACTATAATTATAAATATATCACACTTCAAAGATATACAATTCATGGACCTTTTGGATTTTTTTTTATACGTACAAGGTTTTTTCCTGCTATTTTACTGAAGTTCAATTTTACTTTGTACAGTATATCCACCTCCATGAAGAACAGAAGAAAATTAATCCCATATGTTCTGTTATTTCGTTTACGTGTTTCTCGTTTTACGCGGACCTCCACGGGTTCAATTGACCGCGTAAATGCAGACTATACTGTACTAATTTTTTTTTTAATTAAAAAAATGTTGAGTACAATACTCAAGTAAATTTATTTTGTTACTTTACAACTCTGGATGTACCCAAGAATGTCTAAGGGTAGTTTCAAAGTTGCTAGCATTTTCACAGCTGGGACAGGGAGTCATTTGTTCTAGAGATAGTAATTTCCTTTACCTGTATTGTAAACAGTGATATTCCCACTAGCCGGAACAATTGGTGCAGAGCACTTCCGGGAATAAGAGATTTCCGGGTAACGAGATGACTCTCTCAAAGCCGGAAAAAAATCCCTCAACCTCGGAAGACGGAAAATTTTTCTCGGAATTTCCTGAAAATGCACCTGATTTCCGTCTCTCATACTCGGAAAAAACCCCATCCCCGGAATTTTCCAGGTATCGGGAAAATTTTCTCGTAATTTTCCAGAAAATGTGCCTCTCGGAAAACTCTGACTTTGGGAAGGATTTTCCAAGAAAATTTCAATTCCGGCTATCGGAGAGTTCCGGGTTCGGGGGATTCCGGCTACCGGAGATATTACTGTACCTGTGTGTGCGTGTAGACACACACACACACACAAAACACATACAAATAAATAATAATTGGAAAATGCTCTCACGGAATAAACAAAATAATCGTTATTTTTAAGAAAATGTCGATAATTTTGGTAGCCTCGATATAAAAAAATCTTTACATAAAGTCGCTATACAGGTACTCCCCGACTTACGACAAGGTTAGGAACCGACATCCATGTCGTAAGTCGAAATGGTCGTAAGTCAGAAATGCTTAAATAACACATAGAAAATTGAAAATTTGGTCTCTTTTTCTTCTCAGCACCACAAAACACTCACTTTTAAGCTTGCCAGCCATTTTAAAGTGAATTACAGATGAAAATTTTGTCTGTGTACTGACTATGGGACTCAAAAATACATAATTTGACCACATTTTGGTACAACTCAGGCGGTCGTAAGAGCGGGTGGACGTAAGTCGAGTCGCCAGTAGGTCGGGGACTACCTGTACAGTAGATCCCGACCCTACTGTACACATACTTGGAGATGATTATCATTTAAAAAACAAAAACATACTGTACTTTCTGAATAACATTATTTTCTCAATATGGACAACTTGTTTCTTTTCTAAAATGTATCTTCACAAGTTGGCATGAATATGGTAGAAAAGATAAATTGAGGCCAATAAGACCATAAATAACTTATAGTGGTGGAATCAATGGAGGTGTCAGGTATTACCACGCCCATTCAATTATTTTCATAAACGTTATTATAAATTATAAAACAAATATCAGTACAGTATGCACAATCCAATTATTCCCTACAACTCACCCTTTGTCTTCACCAATTTGCACTCCATTTACAATTACAGTGATCCCTCGGTTAACGAGCGCCTCGGTTGACGAAATTTCGGTTCACGAATTACCTTCCAGAAGATTCTTAACTTCAGTTAACGAGCAGTCCCTCGATTAACGAATTCCTTAAGAGCGCCCCTCAACATGTTTTCGCATGCACACTAGCTGTCGTATCAGTCCGCCAATACAGTAATCGGTTCTAGGGCTTAAATTCCTTACTATTTTAGTAAATATCAAGAAGTTTGTACGATTCAATAATTTTAAAAGTTTTATATTAAAAAATTTAGTCACTTTAACAATTATTTAACATAATTTAAGTACAGTACAGGGAAACTAGTTTTTAACGTGCCAAACAGCCTGTCAACACACCATACAGGCGTCAGTCTCTGTGTCTTTTCAGTGGAGGTAACATCTTGCTTCAGACTCTCTTCAACATAAATGCCTTTTTTCTGTTTCCAGTCAAATTGGTCATTTTGAAATTTATTTTACATATTGATGATATATAGCACAGTGCAGTGTTGATTTAAAGAAAATAATCTTGAATTACACCAAGTGAACTAAAATTTTATGGGTGAAATGGCGGCATGGGGTGACTTCTCTTCCACTGCAATGCCTTCTCTTATCCCTTCTCCTCCACCCCCATTCTAATTCCCGTCATCATCAACCAGGAGCATGCACACCTCAAAGTAAGTGTACTTTACTGCATTTATTTTTCATTTGTATGTAATTTTTGGTGAGCTGGAACCAATTACCCAAAAACTCATTGAAACTGGTTTCGGTTAACGAGCAACCTCCTGGAACGAATTGTGCTCGTTAACCGAGGGACCACTGTACTATATCACACGTCCCATTTTTAAGACATAACCCCTATAATTAAATTAAACATGAATTAAAAATGATAACCACATTATCACGGAGTCTTTATTTTAATACAGCAGCCACTGTCTATCAAAGAGCAATTAATCACATTGTTTTTAAGCCACATAACTGCCAAAATAAACAAAGTATCATGGACAAAAAATATAATAGAAGGGAAGGAGGTTGGAGCAATTACATGGTACAGGTTGGGTAGCCCTTATCCAAAATGCTCTGAAATGCTTGAGTTTTTTTTCTAGCACTACTCCATTGTTGGGTAAGCAGACACTTCTTTACAGTGAAATTTAGGGTAAACAAAAATTTTTGCCATATCTAAGTTAATCAAGGATGTCTTGGGGTATTTTAAGGTAATTACTTTGCATTAGTAAGTAAATAAATGTTAAAGTAATTTAGCATTGGACAGACCGGCCATTTCTTGATTTCTCGAAACAATTCCGCTTCTATACAATCTATACTAGGAAAGTCTCCCATTAATACGAAAGTGTACATTTTCTTGTATTACATTAATATGCAGTACTCTCATTTTTTAGGCAATGTCCTCAGACTGGTATTTATTATACTGTACTTTTAAAGTACAATATTTTATATTTAATGTTTTATTATATAGTCACATATCAACAATGTCATTATCTTCAAGAATCAGCTAAAAAGTATTTGAATTGTCACTACTTTTCTCTGTTGATTTGGATTTTGTGGAAATATCTGGCATCTTCCAAGGAGTTGTTGAGGGAGGCCTCATATAAAATTATTAATGGATTATTGGCAAAGATCACAAAGAACACATAATGACAAAGTTTACAATTTCAGACAATAATATTTTTGGGTTAATTTGAAAATTTTTAGTGCATTTCAGAAATAAATTTAGGGTAAGTATGTACAGTATGTGTAGTGAATAAAGGTATGACATAAGCTGCTTAGTACTTCAGAGTTAAGCATCATGGCGATGCCAAACAGACGGTAGTGATTGCTTACCTTTCTGATTCATTTATCATGTATTTCACACAAAATTATTATAAATATTTCATAAAACTACCTGTAGGCTATATGCATCCATATGCTGTTAATAAAATCTAAATGAATTTCGTGCATAGACTTGGGACCCATTCCTGCTGGGTGAGCTACCGCACCATACAGGTACCTATAGAGGATACTGTATAGGTATTCTCAAATCCGAGCCCCTTTTGGTCCCATGCATTTCGGATAAAGGATACTCAACCTGTCATTTACAAAGCCACTGACTGGTAGAGTGGTAAAGAGTTTAATCTATACACAACATAAAGTGAGAATATTAAAAAACAACAAACAAGCTTTATATTTTAAAATAGGTTACTACCGCTACTCATTTCTTATATGTTGTACAGTCACTCACAATAGTCCTGTCGCCTCTCCTCCTGACCCACAAACACCGAGATTCAGATTCGTGAACCCGAAGCAGTAGACACCGATACATTATTGTCCCTAAATGTTTCGGATTCACAAGTCTGAATCTAAAGGTTCGTGGTTCAGGAGAGATGACGGGACTTTCGTTGGTAAATGTGCAAATAAATTTGTCATAAATTTGATATTTATATCTCATCAATTGCTTAAAACAAACACGGTGCTTTGTTCTTATAACACTCTTGGAAATCCTTTTTTTTGTAACTGATATATTTAAATACTAGCAGTCATTAAATTAGTTTAATATGCAGTAATTTTCATCCAAAAAGACTATCATTAAACTAATAAAAAAATCCATATACAATGTACTTTCTCTAAAGACAGCTACAAATTATATATATATATATATATATATATATATATATATATATATATATATATATATATATATATATATATATATATATATATATATATATATATATATATATATATATATATATATATATATATATATATATATATATATATATATATATATATATATATATATATATATATATATATATATATATATATATATCACACACACAGAGTAATACCTTGGTTTACGCGGTTTGACAACGCGGGAAGCGGTGAGGGCAGGGTGCGCACAAGGTCGCCCAGTCATCAAAACATTACCGAGTCCTTCACCAGCCACCCACCAGAGCCGGCCCAACTCAGTAATAGTGAGGATATGGACGTATATGGACTTTGAGGGGTTTGACAAAGAGGCCCTGCAAGCCTCTGTGGTGGATAGTGATACAATTGATACAAGTGATACAGGTGAGGGCCAATAATCAGCCCTCTGCCTCGGAACCAGCCCCCCATCCCCGTGTGCCCAGCCATCTTTTCTACTAATGTAAGTGTTAAAAAACCTAATATTATTGATATTTCTCTTAATTATTAATTGAGTGTGCATACCATCATAAAATTAAGATGTTATTTTTACTACAATGTAGGTATTGTGTCTGAAAAAGTGGAGTTTGGGGGTCGGCCCAGTCTCTATTTCAATATTTCAATTTATCCCATATGTTCTGTTATTCCATTTACGCATTTCTCGTTTTACACGAACCTCTGCGGGTTCAATTGACCGCGTAAATCGGGGTATTACTGTGTGTGTGTGTGCAAATCAAGAGCCAGAGTATACTGACCAGAAAAACAGTAGTGTTGTGTGCTTGAACATCCCCATTGACTGCATCACCCTGTGAGCGCCAACAGTTGGTACCAAGTCATGTAAAGGTCCAAGACAGCAAATAAGAGAAAAGGCCCAGTCATATGATCCACACAAACCACAAACACAAAAGTCGTTAAAAGAAATTCTGAAAGATAATGCTACTAGTACTAGCAAGACTGTGAAGGAAATAAAGCCAGAAAAAAAAACCTTTTACATAATAGTGACACTCCACACTGAACCTCTTTAGCAGATGAAGCAAAGCAAAAGCACAACATGTACAACCTCCTCCACTACCAACTGTTACAATCATTGTCAATTCACCTCTCTATGTGGTGTGAACCCCGGGAGTATAAACTCGAATCCAAAGCATTCAAGAACGAGGGAGGGAGGCCGGGGGAAGACTGGAGCCGGTATGCGTGTGGGTGGTGGGGTAATACAGGGGTTGAGGAGGGTAAGAGGGGCTAGAGGGGTGGGAGAGAGTTAAGCAGTTACTTGTGCAGTTACAGTGCAGGGTATATTAAGCAAGGATGTAAAGATGTAGGACAAAACACAAATTATGATTAGAATGTGTTGCCACATTAGGGTGGTATTCCCAGCTTGTGCTACAGGTCTGAACCATTATATGCATATTTACTGTCCACAATTTGGAAAACAATAGGCCACTGTGATGACAAAACAATCCCCCTCCCCACAAATCACAAACACACAATCATCGGTCATGCTACAACTGTCACTTACTCCAAGGGTGATAGGGAAATGGGCTGGGTCCTCTACATAATGGACGAGTTGTCAGTTCTGGGTAAACACAAGAAATACACTCTGCCACGTGTGTAGAGTGATACAGTATATATAATTTGTAATACGAGTTTAAAGTCCTGCTATAATAGTCGAGATAAGTTTATTTCTCTAGATTCAGGGCCGCCATTTGCAATGAAGTCACCACCTACCCTACAGAAAACGCACGGAGGGAGATACGAGTCAATTTAGAAGTAATGACATTGTCTGGACTATATTTTGAGAATGCCTGATACTAGGTAAACATTAAAATATAGTGCTGTTATTGTTTTGATGATTCACTAATGAACCACTCGGATATATCATCATTTATATTAATTAATGGGTAAAATTTTACTCTAGCTACCATAAGCATTTTGATGCTTAGATTCGAGATAGGCTATATTGGGTAAATTTTAAGTTTTGGTTATCCCTGTAATTAGACATACAGATTATGTTTTTCGGATGGCTTGCAATCTGTTATGAACGATTTAGACCTTCATTTATATCGTAAATCACTAGTTTTGAGTTAATACCCCCCCCCCTTTAACGGTGTATGTTTAGCTAATCTTTTAACTTATAATATAACTTATCATACCCTAACCTAACCTAACTTAACATATGACCTGCATTTTCTTTTCTTATGAGATAAAAAATGTTTTGCGATAGAAATCCTGTAGATAGTGTGTCTTATTGCTTAAAGTACTTAATCTCATAGTTAGATTCTTAAGGTTCCCCAGATGACCAAAAGCAAAATAATACCAATATTGTTTGGAATGTTTATACAGTGAACCCTCGAAGATCCGGACTAAAAGGGGGGGACCACCTGTCCGGAAAAGCCGATTGTCCAGATTTTCCGGCGAATAGTAAATGATATATGAAACACCAAAAATACAGTACTAATGTAGTGATAAACAAATTACCGTATATAAACCATGCATTTATCTATGATAACATAATAAAAAAACATTGTATCATTACTAGAGTGAATGAAATAATATTCCCACAAACAACAATTGTCACCTCTGTTTATGTCAAAGCAGCACCCATGGGCCTAAAATGTCCTTTGCTCTGGTTTGGGAATGCTTCTTAGGGAAACTTCTAGGAGGCTTCTTAGCCAAGAGCCCCCCAAAAAATTTTCCGGATCTTATGAAATCCGGATTTCTCAGGTCCGGATCTTCGATGGTTTACTGTACTATGAAATTTGTAGTAGGGGTAGTAAATATCCATTGAATTAGTTCATGTGCTTAGTAATCTTTATATATTCAATATAGTATTACTGTGTTGCACAGTAAAGCAATTAATTATCGAATAATATTTATTTACAGAGCCGATCAGCCAAGAAGGTTGGACAACTACTTCCAGGGTTCATCAAGGCAGATGAAAGAAATTTACCCAAAGTAGATGTCTTTATGATTGTAGAGTATTATCAAGAACTCTGTCATCCAGCTATGAAGCACGTTGAATTACATCAGTCATCTGATCATCTCAAGCCCATCCCCTGGCCATGGTTGTCCCTAGTCCTTCCACAACATTAAGTACACACATCAGTGATGAAAACTTACATTTTGCAGACATGAAATAGAGAACAGTGATGAAAAATTCCCTGTTGGAGTTATCGGTCTTTTGCATCATTTTGGCACCCAGCAAGTACCGGGTAAATACAGTACACACGATGATACTTAAGCAGTAATTTATTTTAACCTAAAAATAAGATATACCTGTGTATATCAACCTTGTATATGGCCACAAGTCCTGTATTTCTGCTGGCAGCAACACATACACCACAGCTAGCTGGCTCAAGGCTCCCACTCTGCGGCTCGCACTAGTCAGTGACGTCACAACCAATCACAGAGCTTTTTGCAGTCACGTGACTTTTTAGCAACTTTAACCCTTATTTTTTACACTTTTTGGCCAAATTTATTTAAAATTAACATCACCATAGTGAATTTAGGGGTTTTCTTAACCCATTGACCAGCCATCTTACAAAAAAATTCCGAACGACAACTCGTCCATTATGGTGTCCATTTATAATGGGGTTGCATTTATGACCCAATGAATAACAGATCCATACCCAGGAAGTTGTGAAACAGTTATTTTAAATAATATGATGTAAATAATGCATCAATGTGCAGGATTTCCACCTGTATTTTTTATTTTTTAGTTTCAGTGCAGATTAATATCTATCTGTTGTCTACTGGATAGTGAGACGAGGTGATGAAGGGAGAAAGGGGTAGTGTGGGTGTCAGCGCTGGGTATAGTTGAAGGCACCGGTGCACCGTGTTTAGTAAGCAGTCCTCATTATATAAATGCTGATACTTTATAATATCTGGTGCTTCCTTAAGTTGGGAAACACCAATAACACGTTTTTACCCACTGTATTATGTGGACATATATCACTGCTTGTTAACTGTTGTTAATATCCCCTCCTGCCAGATAATAAGTTAGCTGGCAGATGTCAGATCACCATGTGGGGGGTAAAGAGGAGGTAATGGTAGTGGAAGCAAACCCCTGGCTGTCAAGTGAGGTGTCTGGGTAGCCTTTTGCAGTTCCTAACATGGTATATGCAGGATGCATAATTATATAGATACTGTTCTGTACTCTTTAAATGGTGTTTGTAATGATAATATACAGTAACCTTTGTTGGTGACAGTTGAAATATCATACTTCAATGGTGCTCTGCTAATAGCCAACCTGCCTGGGCGAGGCAAGACTACCCTGTCCTTGGCTCTACTGTGGCCACTTTATCCACCAATGATATCATGCTTTATTATGAGATCAATTAGGTTTTACAGTATGGCTCTATTACTGAGTACCGTATATACTTGTGTGTAGTTCGAGTTTTTAAGACCAAATTTTTAGGCAAAAATTTGGGGGTCGACCTCTACATGGGTAATAGTTTTGTTAGGTTGAATCCGTGCATGATGGGAAGGGCGAAGAGCAACTTTTAGCTTCAGACATGAAAAATATTTACCATTTACTGCCAGTAAACAATGGAAACATAAAATATGAACCAATTAGTAATGAAAAGTTGTGCATTGCCTTCAGCAGATGAAGCTCACCAACTTACAATAGGTTAAATTACTTTACAATGTGCTTTCAGTAGACTATGTTGAAGTTCTTAGCACAGGCTAACTTATCACATCATATACGGTATCAATGTACTCATTGATCTACAAAAAATACCGGTAATAAAAACCTTTCCGATACTTCACACTTAATATAATACCCGGTAATCCACCTCAACCTCATATTGCTTATAGCGATGCACGACGCACCACCAGCTGTTGAGTATCAGCTAGACGATACACGTGCTTTTCGAATCGTTTTCATTTAAAAAACTGTTACATCACACGTATATTTTACCTTAACTGTGCCTCAATGAATATATTCTCGGAAATAAATAGTAGTTTTGCTGAAACGTGATGCATTTCAATGTAAAATAGGATAAAATACATGAAGAAAACAAAAGACTTTACCTAACCTTCTGATGTTCAAGAGATGTTACACTTTTTTTAATAGTTTTCGGTTAAAATACTGTTATATTACAATGATATTCTATTCATACTGTGCTTGATATAATACATTCACGGAAATGTAATATTTTTGCTGAAATGACGTACGTATTACAATGGAAAGTGGGACAAAACCATGACGAAAACAATCGACTTTCCCTTTCTTTCATTGTTCAAAAGATGTTACCGTAATCGCTTTTTGAATGGTTTTCTGTTAAAAAAAGTGTTGTATTACAATAATATTCCCTCCCAATTGACTTGAATAAATACTTGAATGGAAATATACAATATTTTTGCTGAAACTACCCGCATTTCAGTGTCAAGTGTTGTAATAATGGTAAACAATTTGCCTTCGGCACTCGGTGTTTCAGGCACGGTGACCCTCAGTTTATAGGACGTAGTGTTTTAGTGAAGTTTTTGCTGTTCCATTACCCTCAAAAACTTGGGTCGACCTATAAATGAGGCATATCATAAATTAATGATTTCTTGGTAAAAAAATCAGGGTCAACCTATAAACGAGGTAGAATTATAGACGAGTATATACGGTAACTAAAATTTTTATATTTGATGTAGTAAATTGCTACAGAGGTACTTAATTATACTGTAATACGAAAAACATTACACCACATAGCATACTACCATTATTTGAGTGTTATTTGATTGGTCCTATGCATGAATACACGCCTTAGAGATGCCTTTTCATAAGTGCTTATATAGCACATCCCGTGGATTTTTATATACATTAAGCAAATATAATTAGTTTCTTATAAGTGAGAGCATGCAAAAACCATACCACTCAATAAATATGAAGTACAAGAGACTGTAACAGACATTAAAAATAATGTGGCTAGTCTTTGGCTTCATCATGAGTGGAGTGTGAATGAAGGATTGTGGTGGTGGTTGGTGGTGGTCACATAATATCTCAAAGCCATCGGGTGTCGTTCATACAGATATCAAACTTTGTATTAGTCAATAAAATTATAGATACCCACTCTATGAGGTTGTCTGGTAGGCTTAGATATAACATGGAATCAACCCTATGTCATTCTATCCACCTACTCACATTTAATATAATAATGTACCTTGGAATCTGAGACAGTGTCTGTGGTGTGGGCAGACGAGTTTTGTCTTTTTTCACCATTTTAGCGTTTTACCATATATGACTTCGGAGATGTTATTGCATAATCTCTTATCAATACTCTCACATCATTTAATCTATCAGATGTTACAATATTGTATTCTAGCATACAACAAACTCATACATATAATGTTTCTTCATATACAATGGCACACATGGTCATGCCTCTTGCAGGTATTAAGAAAAGTTACCAAGCAGTGTTATACGTCCACATAATACAGCGTATAAAAATGTGTCATTGGTGTTTCCCAACTTAAGCAAACACCAGAAATTATACAGTACAGTACAGGTAAAACCTTAATAAATTGGACTTAACTATATCGGATTTCGCTTTTTTTGGACTACTCGAGGTGTTTCAGACTGCCTCTCTATTTATCAGAAATATTTTAAAGGGTCCGGAAAATCATGCATTAGTCCGGACGGTTTGTGAGTTCCGACATGCATGAGTGTCACGCGGCACATGCCTCATACCTTTTTATTTATTCATATATATTTTTTTTTTACGGGGAATAGCCCACCCGGGCACAAGTCATAGACCCACAAATGGGCCTAGGGGGCAATAAAATAAGAGTAAAAAGAAATTAAAAATAGAAAAGAAAAGGATTATATTAATCTTCACCATGAAGATGCCGTAAAACCAGCTTTTGGAAGTGAGACAGATTGTATGAGTATGGAAACAAATAAGATGGCAGAGCATTCCCCAGTTTGGCTGTGTGAGGAAAGAAGGATGTACTATAATGGGTTATTCTAGTGTGACCGACATCCACAGAGAAACAGTGGACCATCGTGGGCAAGATGAGTGTTACCAGCCCACGGCCTTGCCGGCGGTACACAGATGCCAAATCCACCGAACATTGCCTGTTAAAGTACCTGTAAAAGAGAGAGTGAAGCAACATTGCGGCGAAGAGAAAGTGAAGAGATATTATCAAGTAAATGAGGAGAGTTAATTAGACGAAATGCCTTTCATTCTACCCTATCCAACAGTTGGACAGAAGAGCCACCCCAGATATGAGAGCATTACTTCAAGTTAGGACGAATGAATCCCTTATAAACTTGAAGCAACTACTCAGGAGTGAAGTAGCTACTGCATCCGTACAGCATTCCCAGCTTTTGGGAGGCAGCTTTAGCAATGTTATGGATGTTTGTGTGTGAGTGATTAGTGGAGAGGGGGGTTGTTTTGTTAACCAGTGGCCAAATTGTGGACAGTAAATATGCATATAATGGTTCAGACCTGTAGCACAAGCTGGGAATACCACCCTAATGTGGCAACACATTCTAATTATAATTTGTGTTTGTCCTACATCTTTACATCCTTGCTTAATATACCCTGCACTGTAACTGCACAAGTAACTGCTTAACTCTCTCCCACCCCTCTAGCCCCTCTTACCCTCCTCAACCCCTGTATTACCCCACCACCCACACGCAGTCTTCCCCGGCCTCCCTCCCTCGTTCTTGAATGCTTTGGATTCAAAAGTCAATACTCCTGGGCTCACACACCACATGGAGAGGGTGGATTGACAACATTGATTGTAACAACTGGAAGTCCAAGAGACTGTACAAACAAAGAACAGTTTACTTAAATAAAGCACTTTAATCAATGAATCTGATGTTGGTATCTATAGTATGAACAATTATCTTTGAATGCAGTATACTACTGTATATTGTTTAGAAAAACAAAAATGTAAACACTAAGAAAAAACAGTAGGTGTCAAAGATTTCTTCAATATTTATATCTAAATAGGTATGTAACATGCAGTAATACCTCATTTACCAGCATTCTACTATGATTGCAATCCTTACTTTTAAAAATATCAGCTTCATAATTGTTGACTCTCCCAATACAGTACAGTACAGTACAGTACTCTGTATTATCATCTCTCAACCTGATAAATCCACCAGAGTAAAATCCCAGTAATTTTATTTCAAAGCCACAAAATTAACCAATTTACAACATGTGGAGTGAGAACTGGACAATTTACACAATGCAGTATGGCTAGTCAAACAATGACTTCAACCTGTTTATGGGAGTTCCACACATTGCTGACACACACAGTCAATATGTATGCTCGACTTGTGAACAAAGGATGAGATTTGTCACAACAATTGGTCTATGGACTGTACACTTATCTTGCAATTTAAACGAATCTTACTTTGACTACATACCAAGTTAAATAGAATTAGGATGATGTTAATGTTAACTGCTTTACTAACTTGCTGTACCTAAGAATATGCTGACATAACTGAAATGTTCCATTCTCTAATTTTACTCCTGTTTAAAATTACTACTGAATGGTTGTTTGGTGAAGCAATCTGTGATATTAAAGTTATCTTTATTAGACAGTACACTTCTGTTGTCCAATTCCTGATGTCAAGCTGTTTATTTATACTTTTATCTCTCCCCCTTTGTTATACGCTTCTATGCATTTTATTTATCTTCATCTTCTAACATAAAACCCCACTAGAGAGGGGAGGGGGGGGGGGTGCAGTGTAGCCAGCATGGTTGTTGGCTGCCCTGCCTTCACTTCCCATTCTATAAAGATAGGTAATGATTCACAGCTGGATGGAGAGTTAGGGTGCCCTGGGCACACTTAAGACAGGAAGCAAACTTTGTATATTTCAAGTGTACAGTACCCTAATTTCTATCACTAGGTATAATTAAATCTTTAAGTTTTTCTTCCATCTACATACAGTATCTCTTCTGGATCCTGTGCAAAATACTTGTTTGATACCTGAATGTGTAAAAGTGACGACTTAACTATATATATATATATATATATATGTATGTATGTATGTATGTATGTATGTATATATATATGAAAAGTTTACACGGCGTGCAGTGTAATGATTTTAATTGTGTTCCCGGGCATACACAAATGGGAGGAGCTTGTGATCACGTCACCACCTCCCACACACACCCAGCCACCAAGGCTACTCGCTTGAGTGAGCCACGCTCTCTGAAAGAGAGAGGTGCAAATATATTCTGTTCAGTCTGAGTGGAGATATAGGCTCTCAAAGTGGGCGCAAAAGTGAAGAATGCCGGGTGGTGGTGATACGTATATTTGCACCTCTCTCTTTCAGAGAGTGTGGCTCACTCAAGCGAGTGACCTTGGTGGGTGGTGGCTGGGGGTGTGTGGGAGGCGGTGACGTGATCACAAGCTCCTCCCATTTGTGTATGCCCGGGAACACAATTAAAATCATTACACTGCACGCCGTGTAAACTTTTCATTTGCGCCAAAAATGTAAAGATTTCAATTGCTGCCACTGTGTGTGTATATATATATATATATATATATATATATATATATATATATATATATATATATATATATATACTGTGTTACTCTCAGAAGTGCAGCAATCACCTTTCCTCATTCTCTATATCTATCTCAAAATCAATTAAAATTTTTTCATGTACTGTATATACAGGGGGCCCCCAACTTCGAGGGGGTTGGGTTCTCAAAATGGCCATGAATCGCCAAATCTGCAAATAACATTTGTGGGCGGGCGAGAATATACATTTTTACTTGTGTACAAAAAAATTTATAATAACTTAGGTCAATTATTTCTTTTGCCTGTAGTATCACACACACAAATAATAATTGGAAAATCATCACAAATAATCAGAAATAAATTTAAAACAAATTTGACAGTGTCCCCTCAAGTTCGTGCTCTATTATTAAAGTACTGCAATAGCTGCAATAGAGCACGGACTTGAGGGTAGACTCACATTTTCAATAATTTTGTTTTCTGATAATTATTTGTGAGAGGAGTTTCTCATTATTATTTATTTGTATGTGTTTTCTGTGTGTGTGTCTACACATGCATTAGATACACACACAAATGTTATTTGCGGATTTAACGATTCACGGCCATTTTGAGAACCTAACCCCCGCGAATTTGAAGGGCATGCTGTATATATACTGTCTATATTCAAGACCAGTCAAAACATTATTATACGTTCTTCCTCAGTCGTTACTTTCATTTAGTTCATCTATTGGAAACTATCTAGTAATTTTACAAAATACAGTAGTTTCCTTTATTGATGAAACAAAGATACATGAGCTGCCAATAACATCATAGAAAAATACATACAGTAGTCAATTCTGTATTTATAGGATGGATACTAATAAAAAGAAAAACTTTAATTCATCCCAGATTTGGCAAAATGAGGTTTTACTGCACTTATGCAAGCACAACTAGCAAACCCAGCTTAATATATATGCCAAATAAACAATATAGATTTAACATTAAACAAATAAATAATTAGTCAGACCTGATGCAGTGCTGGACCCAAGACAGGAACAAGGAATCCTTGATACAAGAACTCCACCAACTGCTTTCTTACAAGAGGATGGGCAACCTGAGGTAATAACATACACCAAGGAATTACAAGAAATTCTTAATTAATAGAATTTCTACTTTACACTCACACACCATGACTCAACATCCGCATCAAGTTTAATCTCATCTAGTTGGCATTGATGCCATTCTCGCATCACTCAAAACAAAAAAATCTTCAAATTTTTAATGGTGAACAAAGAATAAATGATTCCATTTATGATTATTTAGTTTACAAAGTGATTTTCAGGAACACATCCTTATCATCAATTGATGTTTACTGCACTTGTATAAAAATACACTAAAAACTGTTGGAATTGGGAAGAAAAAGTCCTCTACTTTCATTTTTCTTTCACTTGTTTCCTATCATTACTTCCTCCCCTCTGTGGTACAGTATCTGCAAAAATTAATCCACCTTACACAATACTGTAGTTGGTTAAGAATAAAATTAGTAAATATATATTGTACATCATTTCTCTACTGTATACCATGTTAATGATATTAATGATGCAAAATGAATTGAGATATTTTTGAATAATTCATCTATGAGGAACTTTTGTTGCACAGTAAACCCTTGATAACTCGGCAAATTCCGACTTATCAAGGCACTTCCCCCTTCTACAAAAATACAACAATAAAAAATTATTGACCCTTTATACTGTATGTGTACATGTAATTACTAAATGTAAAAAAGTAACACTTACCGGCACTGCAAGCGAAGAATGATGCATCATAGTAGGTGACACAGAGGCATGGTAGGTGACATAGGTGGCCAGATATGCCAAAATTTACCCATATACTTTTATATATCTCGGCATTTTCCGAGTTTTACTAAAATATTCTGAGACCAGATCCATGCCGAGTTATCAAATGCCAAGTTATCGAGGGTCTACTGTATGTGGTGTGGTTAAGGTCAGATGTTTCAATCTGCTACAGGCATTATCTGATATGTATGTGGAAATTTAGAAATAACTAAAAAACAAAACATTATCCATTAAATTTATATATACAGTACTGTATTATCTTAATTTTTTTACTTTTATCCTCTTGGCCACTGATCGGCTCATTAAACACTTGGGCAGTTGTTCACGTTGGCAGATACTGAGCATGCACTGGCTCCTGAATATATCGGAACCTGCTCCAGTGTTGGTCAAGTCTGGCCTTGAATGAGCTCGCACTCGATGCCGTCACAACACTCTCCGACAGATTATTCCAAGAGTTCACATTTCTCCCTCCGAAAAAGTTTGCCCTCACAGTGACCCCTTGTAGGGATTGACATCCTCCAGCTCCTGTTATGTACACTCGACCAAGTAGTACCCCGAGATGTTAATACACTTCGATTAGGTCACCCCTTGCCCATCTGTAGTATACACTCCTCGCCTTTGCATTATGCGCAAGGTGGCCGACGGGAAGTGATCTTTGCTGAAGTGTCTCACACCCCTCCACTCCAGTCAGCTGGGGCTGAGGCAGGTGTTGTATGTCTGGCAGCGAAGGGAGACTCGAGGACAAGTCAGCCAGCAATCAAAACATTCACCAGTTGCCCGCGTAAAGTTTGTGAATCAAGATTTATGAGTTTTGCCCCCTCCCTCCCCCACCCCCAACATTACCCCTATTTATTACCACAACGCCCATTGTTTCTTTGCCTTTTTTTTACCACAATGGACAAGAGGAAAGATCTAACAAAAATGCAGATAGCATCAATTAATTATTAGTCTGTATAAGGGCAAGAAAACTGTAAAGGAAATATCAAGAATTGTTGGTGTGAGTCAGCTACTTCCCCAGTCTTAGTGAGGATCTCTTTCCCAACCTGCTCCAGCTTGACAACCAACACAGATTTAGCTTCCTCTATTTTTGTCTCTAAGTATCTCATTCCCCTATGATCTTCAAACATCTCGCTTTCTTTAATTTTGCAGTTAGGGCAATACTAGCAACAGCCTTCATGTTTACCACATTCAGCCCTGTCCTAAACAATGCAGGGACCAGACATGCATAAAGTTCATCAAACTTCACCCTGCAGCTTTTGCATATCAACAAACTACCTGGTGATGCTGGGGTTTTAGCCCTTGATTCCCTACACCTATTCATGTCCTGTTACAAATTTTCCTCTTCCTTTTCCGTACTTTACACCTATAGGATACACAGTGCTTGACAGCTGTCACCGTTGGGGAGGGGGGTGAGCAGACTCGGTAAAAATCTTCTTAGGCTTAAGCCCAGTTTACAATGTGATATAATCCAAATCGTCGACTTGATAAAAATAATGATCTTTATTATTACACAGAAATTAAATCTCAGAAAGGTTAATATATATACCTTTAAGTAAAGCCTTCATCAACATCAAACTTTAAAATTGTTATTAAAAATGTACAAAAAGACAGAGTATGTTTTTATAATTGAGGTTAACTATTATTCTAATACAGCGAACCCTCAAAGATCCAGACTAAAAGGGGGGGCCACCTGTCCAAAAGAACTATTTGTCTGTATCTTCCAGCGAATGAACTAAAAGTAAAAAAAAATTATAGACAATGTCATAAAAATACAGTAAAGGGGGTCCCTGGGGTACGTACGCGTTCCGTTCATGAGGACTTCTTTAAGTCGGAAATGTACGTAAGTCAGAACACATACTCTATGTGCACTATATCATAGCCTAGGGGCTTTAATATATCTCGAACCACTTAATATAAGAGAAAAGAAGAAATTAAATGACAAAATACAGAAAAGGTAACTAAAAATTCAAGCTTAACACTTACTGTATTTTACGGCATAAAAGACGCACGGCCATATAAGACCAACCCCCAATTTAGCAGGGAGTACGTATTTAGGGAAAAAACCTTTGTGGATTTTCCTCCTGTTGCCATAATTTTCTTAAAATAATATATACAGTACAGTAAATGTAAGGAATAAACAAAAATAATACCAATAAAGTTTCAACAAAAACTGCTGGATTGCCAAACCAGCAAATTAAACCTTAACACAGTCGCTATTTGCATATACATCTGTGCTCCCTGCTTTTCCATAGCAACGGAAGTGCTACCTTCGCCAATTCCCTAGCAAACAGCCCCCCCCCATCCCCCCTCGCGCACGTCTCGCCTCCTCCTGCTCCCCCACTGAGCCAACCAGCTAACTCGTGTGCAAAGAAATGTATATTCCCTTTATATGTTTGCCCTTAGGGCAATTATTTCTTTTACTTTTTCACAATATGTATGTAGGATGGTATTTGCATGTAACTGAGTAAAAATAAATGAAGAGTTACTTATATCTACCCAAAAATACGAGATGAAAAAACCATAACACCATACAGCCTGGCCCAGTAGCCTCGGTAGCGATTTTAACCTGCCTAAATGCCGCCAGTAATGTTAACAGATGCAAATGTTATATGTTATATGAAAATCTTCATTTGTATCAGGTATTTATAGATTTAAAAATAAATATTGCAGGTCTGAGATATTATATGAAAAACTTAAGGCCTAAAACCCCCGTCATGGGGAGCAGGAGGTGAGGTAGTACCATTGACAGGTGGCATAGGCCCAGGTCTAATGTTTATTTATCGTGACTAAAAGGATCGTGGAAAAAAAAAAAAAAAAAAAAAATTACAGGTTTTAGCCCACCTGGGCACAGGTCACTGACCCACATTGACGCGAAAATTTAATAATAATAATAGTAATAATAATAATAATAATAATAATAAAGAAATACAAAAATGAAAAAAAAAATATCAAGAGTGAGAAACAATATACCTGTATGTATGTTGTGTTGTCAAAGTAAGAGAAACAATTAAGATCCTGCAGAAAGTCAGATCATCAACCTGGGACTTGGTCACTTAGCAACAGGGTCTACCATTTGACAATACATCATGCTTCCAATATCTTCCCAGACGGTAGTACCTCCTTGTTTGGTACATTAGCTGCCTAATACCTACACCAGTGAAACTGTTGCTTGATATACAGCCCTTTTGGCACAAGTACACACACCTCTTTGAATATCATCACTTAGAACTGCTTATCAGTCGTCATTTTCATCAATTTAAAAAAAATCTGTATAAGAAGGTGAAATCTTTAATACAGCACTCATTTTATACACCTGGTCACCTCCACATCTTAGGGGCTGTAGTGTTTACATTCTTTCTCTTGTTTTTGTCGGTATGACAACGACGGGAAATATTTTCCAACAGTAGAAGGTAAGCAAATGTAAACATTGTATCATTACTAGAGTGAATGAAATAATATTCCCACAAACAGCAAATGACAACTCTGTTTGTGTTTCTCGCCTCGGGCACCTGTGTCCCGTGCGCTGACATCTTAGTTACATGGGCCTAAGATGATCTTTGCTCTGTTTTGGGAATGCTTCTTCGCTCCCGGAACCCCCAAATTTTGTCATAATCTTACGAAATCCGGATTTAATGGATCCAAATCTTCAAGGGATCACTGTATAATGAACATCATTTTGGATGACTTCTGGTATAAGCATACAGTACTGTATTCTTTAAATAAAATAACACGGGTATTGATGATCACTTGTCAAAACATATCTAACCTGAACAACTGCATTGCAGAATTCCAGAGAATTCAAGAACAACTGGAGTTGAGGAATATCTACGATGTCTTCCATACTGAGGCGGTGCCAGCCATCAGACTCTACAGCCAATGAGCGTGGCAGCATGGAGTACAAGCCGCTAAGACCCGCTGCTAATACCTAAAAACATAAAATTATGAATACATTACATAGGTCTTCACTATTATAAACATCCTGATTTTAAAACCCTATTCCAGTGTAAAATTAACATACTTCAAGCCTCAAAAAAAAAAAAAAAAAAAAAAAATATATATATATATATATATATATATATATATATATATATATATATATATATATATATATATATATATATATATATATATATATATATATATATATATATATATATATATATATATATATATATATATATATATATATATATATATATATATATATATAATACTAATAAAATTCGTAAGTCAAACGAAATAAGAAATAAAAGTTTCCATATTGTTTTTGTAATTCAACTTTGACTTTAGTTTATGTATACTTGAATATTACCATATAAAATGTGGTTATTCTTACAGGACAAAAGTTTGAGTGCTGAGCAATGTACTGGCCAACAGATGTGTGTGATGATGAAAGGGCCATACAGAGAAGCAGAGCATCCCTGGCCTGCTGCCCTATGCCACCCTCACGATGAACAAATGGCAGCAAGAGGGAGAATATCACGAATCTGGAAGAAGATTGAAGAGGCATAAACTATCTTAAAACAAAAAGAAAACAAATTACTATATTTTCCCCTAACCAGAAATAATATACTGTATAACTTAATACTTATTTCTGCATTTGGAGGTTTCATTCTTTGATAAGTGATCCATGGTCATAAATACTGGTAAACTTCATACACCCACCCATCAACAGCATGCCCATCCCAAAAACCACTTGATGCCATGCTCTCCCATGATTAACATGCAGTGAAGGTAGTAGAGATGAAATGCTTAATACACATTGGGATCTCATCCCTCACCCAATTAAGTTAGAATTCATTTCTTTCCTATAATAATCCAGAATAGTTTATCTAAAAATTGGGTTAAATAAATAAACAGTAGACTCTTGCTGTTCACTGGTTTGAGATTCACGATCTCAATGATTCGTGGTCAGGAGATGGTGGCTATGGTATCAAATTCCCCTCCCTCACACAATTAACTTTCGCCAACAACTCACCCCACATTACACACACACAAACCACCTCACACACACACACACCTTCACACATGCCCTAATGAATGGAAAACCGCATTTGTCACCCCCATCCCCAAGGTCACCACCCCACAGTCCCCTAACGACCTCAGGCCAGTTGCCATTACCCCCATACCCAGTCTACTTTGTGAGGACTTTGTTTTTGAGTGGGCATTTGCCAGTATCTATCAGTCAATTGATTCACAGCAATTTGGCAATATAAGGACCTCCTCTACATCACACTACTTGGTGAGCTTTCTGGATTTTCTCCACAAAAACTTGCAGAAACGAAAGACATCACTGGCCGTTGCCCTTGTGGACTTCAGGAAGGCCTTTGACCTTGTTGATCACTGCACTGTTATCAACAAGGCTATTGCACTAGGGCTGCCCACCAACCTGGTCTCATGGCTCACTGATTTCTTGAGTGGACGTCACCAAGCAGTGAGGTATCAGGGCTTGGTCTCTACATTCCAACACCTCACCTGAGGTGTTCCCCAGGGGACCAAGATGGGACCACTGTGTTTCCTCATCCTGATCAACGACGCTCTATCGGACACTCCTCACAGGTGAAAGTACGTGGATGACTGCACTGTGGGGGTTTCAGTGGACAACACCGCACCAGACTACTCATCGCTCCAAGGCACCCTGGACAGGCTACAGGCATGGACTACGGAGAACAAGGTCACCATCAACCACACCAAAACCGTAGTCATGCACATCAATACCGCCACCATTCCAGTGCAAGCCCCAGCAGTCACAGTGGGTGCCCATCCTCTCCAGCTGGTGCAGTCTGCCAAACTCCTGGGTGTAACTATAGACAACAAACTTGACTGGAAGGCCCATGTAAATAACACAGTCAAGGCAGCCTCGTACCGTCTCTACATGCTACAAAGACTTAGGTCACTTGGGACACCCACGCCAGAGCTGAGGACCATCTACAACGCCTTTATTCTCCCCAAACTAACGTATGCGTCACCAGCCTGGTCGTCTTCTCTCAACTCCACCCAACAACGTCAGCTAGAGAAGGTACAGAAAAGGGCCTACAGAATCATGCTCGGCGCAGAATACTCCGGCTACACCAACGCTCTCTCCACCCTGGAAATGCCATCCCTCAGTGACCTCCACCATCAAGCACCAGAAAGGTTTGGCAGTGGACTACTGCACCACCCTCGCCATCGCCACCTCCTGCCACGTGCAGCCCCCACCCAACTCGCGCAGTCCGCCATTACAACAAAATTCAGCCCATAAGAGCCCGCACTGATAGATATAAGAACAGCACCATCCCATCTATTGTTAAAATAATAAACAACTACTGATTTATGTACTGAACAGCCCTGTAAATGTATTCAATGCATATTATATCATTATGTCTAAATCAAATGTAAGTCTGTATATTTTCAGCCACCGGCTGCAACTATATTAATAAACCGATTATTATTATTATTATTACCCACCCACCCACACACACACCCACACACACACACACATATACACACTCCAACGCCACTCACACACCCCCAACAAAGGAATTAAGACAGCAAGCATGAGGAGTGAGGGTATTATTGTATGACAAAAATGTGTGTGTGTGTGTGTGACTGTGTGGTAGCGAGTTAAATATCAGGTGTTGAGGAACACTTGGCAACACTCCTTTCCACTCCATCTCTCTAATTATCCACACCTTTCTGTTTCCCACTCCATATTTTAAAATGTAATGTAATGTTGAAGGGATATAACTTTGCTCCCGAAAAATACTTTAGGTTTTGTGTTTCTTCAAGACATTTTCAGGGCATGAGACCCATCAATTCCCCACCCAAGAAAGGGTAACCTGACATTCCATCAGGTCTGTAATGAGACCACTAACCCCCCACCCCCCTCTCCACCTGACATTGCGTCAGGTCAGGTCAGTTACAGGAAAAAGACCCACTAATCCCACACAGCTTCATTCATGCCCATATCATATAAATTTTTAAAATTTAAATACCCTTGTTATCCTCAGGGGTTAGGTTCCTAGGAATGGCGCAATTAGGCCAAACCGCAAATAGCAACTAATATTACCTTAGTGCACAACTGTACGTATAGTAATGTTTCCGTTAGCAGGAATTGAAATTTTCTGAGAAAATTTCAATTCTGGCTATCAGAGAGAGTTCCTGATATACAGTAGACTCGCAACTTACATGGGGGTTACATTCCTGGGACCCCGCGTAAAGTCGGAAACACTCCTAAAAATTCCAAAATCGTCCTTAAATCACTATATATACATACATATACACTATAGTTCATAAATCACTACTGTAATGTAATATCAACAACTGTAGCAACTTGTAGACACGGTTTCACGAATTCCCCTCCTGAATCCATTCCCGAGGACATTCATAAGTCGGATTTGTACGTAAGTCGTAACACAAAACAATATTTAAAATCCCACTATATCATATCATAGCCTAAGTCCTTATATACATCTAAAATCACTTAATTTAAGTGAAAAGAAAAAGTAGAAAGACAAAATCCAGTAAATGAAGGTAAAATAAAAAGACTTCAGGTAAATAAAATACTGTAAATTTCAAGTTTAACCCCTTTCATATCGGCAGGCGTTTGTAAGTCGGGGACATCCCGTATTCATTCATTTGAAAAAGTCTCGTGACGAAATGTCTGGAATAAAGCGCAACAGTTCACCAAGGAAACTTTGGCTCAGATGAGCTAAAAAAGAGTAAAATAGGAAATAACTGTAGATGCTTACTTAGTAGGGCCTTGATCACTGGAGAACTGGAAGAAAAAATCTAGTAAATGATGGTTATGCATGAGTGATACACAGAGTTGATTGAGAAGTACAACAAGACGTTTCTCAACATCTACAGGAACACAACCACCACAAGCTGCCAGGAGTCGTAGCAGAGGACGGATGATGGGCTTGTACACCAGGATTTCTTGTCGTGCATGACTCAGCAGTTGCTCATGGACCTGAAAGCAACATCATTATAATGTGGAGCATATAATGTAAATATATAAAGCAACAACATTATAATGTAAATTTATAATTATAGAATTTGTTTTGAGTCACTGCATAATGAAAGTGTCCTGATTCAGTCAAAATTTATGATATCAATACATTTCAGAAATAAAAAAGGCTAATGCCAGAAAAACCTTTCAACAATGACCCATGGTAATACATGTACAAGTAGTCCCTAATTAGCACAGGCTACATCCCTAAAAAGCCTTGTGCTGTAAGGATTCATGCCGAATGAATCCACAAAAGTTATTGAAAACCAAACAAAAGATGAGAGATGCATGATATAAGGAAAGAGAAGGGATGGGACCTCGGCCCCAAAACATGAAACAAAAACTCCCTAAGCCACCACCTTTTCTCACTTCAACACTAATTACATAATTCCAAAACAACTTTTTTTACAAATTATAGCTCACCTTGAGTTTGAACAACTACTTCCTGGACTGCAGTTGTTCAAACTCAAAGTGACAAATGAAGCACGATGCCTCAATATGTCGAGAAAAGCATGTGATGGATCTGCTATGTAGATGTTGTTGGCCAATCTAGGCTTCCATCAGCCAATTGATTGCCTTCATTTATTATAAAATCTTGTATATAAATTAAATATTTCTTCAAGACACCACCTTTTCTCACTTCAACACCAACTCCATAATTTCAAAACAGGTACAGTACAGTACATGTAGACCTCCAGCAATGAAGCCCCCTTTATTTTGAAGTTTGCTTCCCCTGCCTTTTTTTTTTAATTAATAATAAAAAAATTTAAATTAAAAACAGAAAACTAATGGAATCCCACAAGAATGCATTGACATAGTTGTTTGTTTTGATTTCAGCCAATCAAAATGAACTACACAACTCAAAACATAGCAAAAGTCAGCTGTAAGTTGGCTACAATACGTTGCCTTTGTTACATGTAATGAAACTATATAAGTTGTAGAAAAGGTGGAAAAATTGTTTTAATAATCAAATATGTCTTAGAAATAATAAAGAAAATATAATAAAAAATTATAAAACAAGAAAAATGTACAGTATATGCAATAAGGGTGACTGAGGGCAGTATTCCAGAGACTTATCTCTTTTTTGGGGAAGTATACTGTAATAACATAACATAACTTTTTCCACTTTTCAAAAAGGTGTTTTACAATGTGTACTGCAATAACATAAAATGTTGAAAGCAGACAAAAATAAGTTATTGCAATCAGGAAGTGAACAGTACAGTATGTTGCATTATTTTTCTACAGTAGTTGCCTAGGCTGGGAGGTGTATTATCTGCTGGTGTGAACGAAGCCAATAATTCCAGTCTTATCTTTCTTTTGGTGAACATAACAATGTACGGGTAAACCTCGATAATCGATGGAGTTAGGTTCCTGAAAACCCATCGCCAAGTGATATATCATAGATGGGGAACATTATAATATGGGGTTCAATGGGATACGTTCCCAGCCATTCCCCAAACACACATCTATGACCAACAAAAAAATTCCTACTTATGAAATCAATAGAAAACAATTAAACAATGCTCAGCACATCCTGAAGAATAAGCCTGGTCATCATCACATGTCCCTTTCAAGGCTAAGGGGTCTCTTGTAGGTGGAGTGAAGAGGCTACTCTGACTCCCACACAGCGTCTGGGGAGTATCACGCTGCTTAATGTCAAGCTTCACCTCAGAAACACCATTGTTTTGGATGCCTTGGCCTTGTCAGACATTTTCAAAGTTAGACTGCTCATTTCAGTCACAAATACAGAGCAAAAACACTTGCCTCAAAGCACTTAGTCACAAAAACACAGAAAATATCACATCACAGTCACCATAACACAGTTCAATCTGAATGTTAGTGCTGTCTTCTCACTATAAGATAAAAAACTGATAAGTATAGTGTATATACAGCCAACGATTCTGAATGATAAACAGAGAGCTACGTGATGGAGGGGAGATGTGATTGACAAAAGTACCAAGCGCAGGATTGTAGTGCGCGGGTTAGCCACGTGGCAGTATGTGGGTAGATATTATCGCGGCTAAGAAATGCAGCAAAAGATGCGAGGTGCATTGGGTTAAATAATGTTTCCTTATAAAATGTCTCTGATTTGATGTTGAAAAATATAATTTGCATTGCTTGAATCATTGCAAGATAGCGATTAATTTGAGAATATACAACCACTACAGAAAAAATCCAACCAATGGATATCATTAAAAAATAAATGTTCATCATATACTGTATAGCGAGATGGTCCATGACCATCATTAAAGCGGAATATCGCTAAACGAGACATCATTTATCGAGGTTTACCTGTAATCTATTTTCTTATCTTCATAAAAAATTCCACATGTGTAATGTAATAACATAAAATGTTGAAAGTGGTGTTTGTGCTGAAATAAAATAATCAGTAAAATCTCTCAAATTCGTATAGATAAACGAGCAGTCACACGACAATGCTCAGCTGCGTTGACCAATTAATTGGTATTACTTTGCTCTTTATTTGCAATTTTCCGGGATAAAAATAAGTGGAGGATTATTTCTCACACTGTAATATAGCATTAGGCAGCCACTACAGGGCTAATGTTCATAATTTATGTGATGTATGTATATCTGCCATTTGAGAAGTTATGCTTGGTGTCCATAAATAATTACCCTGATTAAAGCATGAGAGCATACTGTTTATAGGGTAATCATTTATGGACACTCTGTAGATTAAAAGATTAAGGGAGAGTCAATTCACAATGTGTACTAAAAGATGAGAGTAGGCCAATGTATAAACAAAATAATATAAACAAAGTTTTCAAGACTTTTACCCTGAACGTATCTAAATGACCTTATAGATTATCATGGATAGGTAACAGAACCAGCAGGTGTGAATTTTTAGTTAAGCACTTGTGTACAGGGTCCCCTCTATGCTGAATAAAATCGCCTGACGTTAGCTAAATAAAATATCAAAAGTGATTTCCATGTAGTGAAGGGTGTTATAAAAAGTGAGGGTAGAAACGTGTTCAGTTTACCCTGCTGCCCACCTTCCTCATGAGACAAATTTTATATTCATCATAAAAGCAGTTCATTAGTTAATTCTATCATCACACTGACAGACCAATCAAAGGAATTCAGTATGTGTACAAAATAATGTGCTTTTCTGAACACATAAAAATCTATAAAGATAGTAGAAATAAACCTTTAGTTGTTCCAACTTCATGGCATTTACAAATTCTCCAGTGCTGAGGCTCCATGTCAGAATAGTGTCAAGAATTTCTTCCCCAAGGAAATGATCAAAGATGGGAGTGTGAGGTGGATTTTCTGCAGGTAAAGATGAGTGATGACTGTTGCTGAATTCTTGAATGCCTTCTAAGGGATTTCCTGTGGTATTCAATTCACTGCTATTGCCCCCTCTACTTCTCTGTGCTATGCCATTGTGAGTGCGTGCACCATGAGCCATGATCTGCTTCAAGTCCACTAACAGCAATGTGACCATCTGAGCCAGGTGATTGATTACAGCCGTCACATCATCAGCAAACACCTGAAAGAGTCATCATAACAATAAGATTCAATTATCATAATATTATATATGCAGTAAATCCTCGATGACTCAGCATTTGATAACTCGGAAATTCATATAACTTGGCACGGATATGGTCTCGGAATGTATTATAGCATAGCTAAGGAAATGCCATGACATTTAAAATTATCTGGTAAAATTTTGGCATATCTGGACACATGCATCACCTACCATACCTTTGTGCCACCTACCATGCCTCTGTGTCACCTACCATGCCTGTGTCACCTGCCATACCTCTATGTCACCTACCATACCCATCACGTAGCATGCCTGTGTAACCTAGCATGCCTGTGTCACCTACCATACCTCTATGTCACCTACCATAACCCTGTCATCTAGCATGCCTTTGTGTCACCTAGAATGATTCTATGTCACCTACCATGCCTCCGTGTCACCTACCATGCTTCTGTGTCACACACCATGCCTCTGTGTCACCTACCATGCCTCTGTGTCACCTACCATGCCTCTGTGTCACCTAGCATGCCCGTGTCACCTACCATGCCTCTGTGTCACCTACCATGCACCTCATGTGTCACCTACCATACCTCTGTGTCACCTACCATGCCTCTAAGTCACCTAACATACTTCTGTCTAACCTAACATACCTGTGTCACCTACCATGTCTCTGTGTCAACTACCATACCTGTGTCACCTACCATACCCTGTGTCACCTACCCATACTCTGTGTCACCACCATCCACTCCTGTCCACCTCACCTACCATACCCTGTCACCTGTGTGTCACCTACCATACCCTCGTGTCACCTATACCTACCGTGTCACCTACCATTCCGTGTCACCTACCACCTCTGTGTCACCTACCATGCCTCTGTGTCTACTATACCTGTGTCACCCACCTGTGTCACCCACCATACCTCTGTGTCACCCACCATACCTGTGTCACCTACCAGCACCTCCGTGTCACCCACCATACCTCTGTGTCACCTACCATACCTCCGTGTCACCCTACCACCTCCGTGCACCTACCATGCCTCCTGTGTCACCTACATACCTGTGTCACCTGTGTCACTCTCATGTCAACCATGCCCTGTGTCACCTACCATGCCACCTACCATGCTCTGTCACACCATGCACCATGCCTACCATGCCTGTCACCCACATACCTCTGTGTCAAATGCCTGTGTCACCCACAGCCTCTGTGCTACCCACCACCATACCTCTGTGTCACCCACCATGCCTGTGTCACCCACCAAACCTCTGTCACCTACCATACACCTCTGTGTCACCTACCATGCCTGTGTCACCTACCAAACCTCTGTCACCCACATGCCTGTGTCACCCACCATGCCTGCACCTACCATACCCCCATGTCATACCATACCTGTGTCACCTACCATGCCTGGCACCCACCTCCAGCACCTACCATGCCTGTGTCACCCACCATGCCTCCCTGTGTCACCTACAAAACCTCTGTCACCTACCATGCCTGTTTCACCTACCATACCTCTGTGTCACTCACCATGTCTGTGTCACCTACCATGCCTGTGTCACCTACCATGCCTTTATGTCACCTACCATACCTGTGTCACCTACCATGCCTGTGTCACCTACCATGCCTGTGTCACCTACCATGCCTCTATGTCACCTACCATACCTCTGTGTCACCCACCATGCCTGTCTCACCTACCATGCCTCTATGTCACCTACCAGTACATGAACTACATAATGTGTTTACAGTACTGTACTATGTTTAGTGTTGTAGAATAAAGTGTAGGTAAGGTGCTATGATAACTAGCTACGGTAATAGGCTGGAAGCATTACCAGCAACCAGAGCATGCAGTACGGTACGGTTATGAGGGTGATGAAAGTTCGTTTCAATATTGCGGTTCGATATTTTTTACAAAGTTCGGTATGTTACGAAAGTGCGATTAATTTTTCGTAGCTTTATTGTACCATTTCAAACCAAGCCACTCCCTTGAAATGTTGGCTGGACAATAGCTTGGAGCAATGCAGGTGTGCTCCAGCCTTCAGGTTAGGTTAAGCCTTGAGGTTAGATCAGGTCAGATCTGGCAACACTCAGTGAGCCAGTGAGACCACAAAATTACATTGCTCCAGGGGGGAATGCCCCTGCCAGCAAGCAATCCATCAAGCAAGTGTAAAAAAAACCCACACCCTTTTCCGGCTTGCGATATATATATTGCAAGAACATCGGCTGGGACTCAAAGCAGACATTATTGATGCTATAATGATGTTGCGTTTCAACACATATTGTGTAGTTTTTGTAGGAAAGGGACAGACGATTAAGTAAAATGTGTAATTAAGCATTAATATGTTAGAATATTAAATATAATTATGTTAAGAACAAAATACTAAAGTTAATATTACAATTATTCTTGTTTTGTTACATTTTAAATTCGGCTACATTTTGTTTGAGGGTACGAGAGCATGTACGAAATTACGGTACTGAACGATATTTTATCGTATTAGTACGGTACGAAGGTATATCTGAAGTATGGTACGGTATTTTTCCTTTGGTACGAATTACAATAAATCAACTGCACCGTACCGAACTGCATGCTCTGCCAACAACACAAGACTAGTTCTGTAATTGATGGTAACAGGATCTTGTTACATTACAGGTAGCGAGAATAGGCTTGGTGGTACTTACTGTAATAAGGTAGACGAATGGATAATGCTATCATTTATGTAGATATATAAAATTGATACAAGTGTTCTGTCTCAACGATAAGCTGAAAATCTTACCTGACCCCTCAATTGAGTTCTATTAATAATTTCACGTGTTTGCTGCCAATGTTTAATAAATGACTGGAAGGCAGCAGCAGGGTCGACATCGTGCAGAGGCGAAGGCACACGACGTCGACCGAGCGACACGCGCAGTGGTGATTCTCGCAGCCAACTGTTCATCCCGCACTCATCACTGAAAAATTAAAATGTGTTACTAATGCTTAGACTACAGTACTGGATCTGCACAACAACAATTATGTTAATATAAGTAAGATGGATACATATTTACACCACTGTAAAACTTTATTTCCACACAGTGTTGAGTGGTCAAGAGTAAAACTCTTCTCTTACTTTGTCACAAGACCTATGATTTCCAACTGATTTATCCATTGCATTAAAAACCCCAAAGTAAATATTTAGAAGTTGCCAACAACTACTTATATGTGGAGTCTTATATATATATGGAGAAAGAGAAAAATTTATAAAAACAATTTATTCTACGGGGGGTCCACGAATTACGAACGTCCAACTTACGAATGCCTGCCGATACAAACGGGGTTAAACTTGAAATTTACAGTACTGTACAGTACTGTCATATACTGTATTTTGTCATTCTATTTCTTCTTTTGTCTTTAATTAAGTGATTTTAAATGTATATAAGGGCTTAGGCTATGATATAGTGGGATAATAAACATAGTTCTGTAAGTAGGGTATGCACATAGCATGTGTTCCAACTTACGTACAAATCCGACTAAAGAACGTCCTCAGGCACGGAACCCGTTCATAACCCAGGGACCCCCGTATGGCGTTTCCATCGGAAATTTATATAATTTGAGTATTTTAACTGATAAAATTACCCACAATATTTATTGTTCAAAGTGGGCAAGGCTTTGAAGTAGAGGAAAAATGTGGGGTAAAATACTAAAAATACAAAAACACTAAACATGCGTTTGAAAACCTGACCTAATGTTTCTTAACCTTTAAAAATCCTAAAACTATAATTTTTTGTTTACCTTATTCATGTTTTTGGTATTTACTAAGTGATGGTGTTGTTTCCAATTTTTAATGTGTTGGTGTTGTTTTCGGTGTTCAGATGAGGAGGGATCCATAAACTCAAAAGAGATTACTACCATTTTTACAAGTGAGGAAAGGTTAGATAAGGTTTTCAAAGCTTTGTTTGGAGTTCTTTTCAAGTATATCCCCTCTATAGATTCCTTTCACCCACTTAAATACTTCAATCATATCTCCCCACACTCTTCATCTTTCTAGGGAATGCAAGTTTAGTTTCTTTAACCTATCTTGATATAAGAACATAACATAAGAAAATAAGGAGTCTGCAATAGGCCGGTTGGCCTGTACATGACAGCTCCTATCGAGAGTTACTACCACTCTTTCATCCATGAATCTATCTAGCCTCCTTTTGAAACTTTCCAGAGTTCCAGCACTTACTACAAAGTTGGTAAGCTTGTTCCACTCGTCCACCACCCTATTTGTGAACCAGTTTCTTCCTATCTCCCTCCTAAACCTAAACTTATCCAACTTAAATCCGTTACTCCGAGTCCTATCCTGCTCGGATATTATAAGAACTTTATCTATATCCCCTTTATTGATTCTTTTCACCCACTTAAATACTTCTATCATATCTCCCCGCACTCTTCGTCTTTCTAGGGAATGCAAGTTAAGTTTCTTTAACCTATCCTGACATGGAAGGTTTCTAAGTCCCGGAATCATTTTCGTCATTCTTCACTGCACCGACTTTAGTGAATTGATATCCATTCTATAATATGGGCCCCAGAACTGAACCGCATAATCGAGGTGCGGCCTGACTAGCGCAAGATATAGTTGCAATAAAACCTCTGCACTCTTATTGCTTACACTTCTAGATATAAAACCCAATACTCTGTTTGCCTTATTTCGAACATTAACGCACTGTTTTCTAGGCCGTAGGTCCGGGCTTACAAGTACCCCTAGGTCTCTTTCACAAGTCGACTTCTCTAGGTTGATGTTGTTAAGGCTGTATACATTGTCAGTATTTGTTCTTCCAATATTAAGTACGCTGCACTTGCTGGTGTTGAATCTCATTTGCCATTTTTCAGACCACCCCTGCAGTTTATTTAGATTCTCCTGTAATGCATTTGCATCCTGCCCCGAATTAATCCTCCGCCCTATTTTGGTGTCATCCGCAAACTTGCTTATGTCACTGCTGATCCCAGTATCTAGATCGTTTATGTAGATTATGAACAAGAGTGGGCCTAGTACTGACCCCTGGGGAACCCCACTGGTTACACGGCCCCACTCAGATCTAACAGCATCTACGCTGACCCTCCGCGTTCTATCGGTGAGCCATGAGTTTATTCAATTTAAAACTTTCCCCTCGATACCATGAGCCTTAATTTTTCTCAGAAGCCTCTGATGCGGTACTCTGTCAAATGCTTAGCTAAAGTCTAAGTAAATAACATCGTAATTTTCGTCATCATCTAATTCCTCGAAGATTTTCCTAACTTTACTTAAACTTTTACAATTTACATAAATATTAAATATTAACATATTTGTCCGTGAAATAATTGGATGAATTTTCTTTTAAAACCTTTGAAACAGTACATATTTAATATCCCGGAAGCCTACGCAACTTGGTACGTGAGGATAATTTTAACGAGAAATATTTTACTCTCGTAGACCTACAGTTAATTTACTCAAACTATAGATCTTTACATCAAAACAACGACCAAACTTTTTCCACCATAAGATATATATATTGTGGCGGAAAACACAACATATGAACCTACTTGTGAAAAGCTTATCAAGTGCTATCAAGCTGACACTCAGTCAGCTCTGATATCTCGGTCACAACACAAACACAACTAGCCTTTTGGTTCTTTTTATTAATTGTGAAATATATTAATAGTGATTCTTATTATAATACTCTTAAAATATTAAATGTTAAAATTAATAATTTAAAAATTCATATAATACCGTAAATTATTTTATATCTAACTTTTATGATTATAATTGTATCGATATAATTTTGCATTATACATAATCTTCCTCAGTATTGTATATCATTTAAGTATATTTTGCACTACAGTGTTGCAGTACACAATAAGATTAGGTGTTTGTTTGTGTTGTTCTCTACAATATAGTTTATTTGTTTATTCAACATGGCAGCATCAGGGTCTGGTGCAGCGGTAACTATTAACTTAACTTTAGTACTGTGAGGTGGCTGTCCGTTAGATGGGGGGCTTCATATCTAACGGACCTGCGATATAGCGGACTCCTTTTCATATAGTCCGTTATATTTTTTTAGTCCCGGTAATTATGTTTGGTAAAGGTTAAGTTTACGACCATAATCCTTCTGGTGATCAAGTCTAGAGGTTTTTCCTATGGTTTTTGGTTTGTTTTATTCGATTTTCATATTATTTTTCTTCGGAAATTACTCGTTTTATAATTAAGCCCCGACAGCCAAAACGAGTGATTTCCTGTGAAAGTCATTATCAAAATTGAATAAAACTCATCAAAAACCATCGGGAAAACCAAGGCTTCATCACCAGAAGGATTTTGAGACCTAACTGAACTGACCTGACCTGACCTGACCTGACCTAACCTAACCTAACCTAACCTAACCAAACAAACAATCAAACAAACTTAACCTAACATGTATTATATATATATAAAACAAAGAAGTATGTCTGTGTGTTTGTTTGTGTGTCCGCACGAGAATCTCGGAAACTACTTTACCAATCTGTAATGATGATGGATGATATTATATGTAGTGATGATGAATGGTGTTATATGTAGTGATGATGGATGATGTTATATGTAGTGATGATGGATGGTGATGATGGATGATGTTATATGTAGTGATGATGGGTGGTGTTATATATAGTGATGATTAGACAATAAAATAATAAGTTTAATGCTAAAAAAATATACTTTGCTGTACCGTTGTAGTGAAAAACATGGTGGAACTTACATACAACGTTAATGAACTATTGATGGAAGTTTTGGGGACTGAACAGTGAGAAAATGTGGAGCCTCCTGGAGGGTGGCGTCCTACCGTGGCGATTCTGCTAGTTAACCATATATTAGAGCCGACATGCGCACTTAAGCCGTGACGTCATGGTCGACACACTCTGTCGGTCATTATTTATTTGTGACGGAAATACCATAGAATAAATGTTGTCCAATTTGACGAGTTAGACAAAAAATGCATCAAAATAATTGTAGCTAATTATGGTCCGAAACTTCACGAATACCATTCGTTTTAGCACACAACCATGGAATCTTAATAATTTTATCTTTTTACTCATTACTGTAGTTTAAACAATTCTAAGACACTTTTGTTCTATGACATTTCCCTTGCAAATGACGGAAAAATTATCTACCTCTTTGGAACCCCCCCGTATACATAAGACATTTGCGAGAGAAATTTTATAAAAGAAAAGAGTCTTAGAATTGTTTAAACTACAGGTAATGATTGCAAAGATAAAATTATTAAGATTCCATGGTTGAGTGAAAGTAAAATTTTACCAAATTTTTTCACGAGATGTTTGATTTCTGATGTTTTGTTCAGACCTGACCTTCGTTTCCATGGGAAATGCAACATTTAAAAAAAAGATGCAAGTCATCCTCAATCAAAAACTGCTTTTTTTCCATCATAAACAAAGGTGAGATCTGAATAAAATACATCAGACACCAAACATCTAGACTCCTAACTTTCACTAAATTAACCTACCTCAACCTAACCTAACCTAACCCCTGGCAGTGTTACATGCCTCACAGCTCCAGACAGCTCACGGTGGGACAAGAAATGTCGGGTGGAGATTTATTGAACTAATTTCTTAGACGCTCCTCACTTGTGCGATTTTTCTGATAGAAACACGTTTCCAAGAGGCTTCAAGGTTTGAGGAATGTTTATATGAGGTAGAAATTGCCTAAAAATAAGTGCTTCTATGCGATTTGAAGATGTGCTAAAACGAATAATAACCGGGGGCTACTATTAACAACTAACCCGCTGACGCATTATTTACTTTGATGTTTGTATTACAGGTATACTATACCTGTATTTTCATCAGTGAGTCCAATAAAATTTCACTTGTTGCCACTGTACGAAATCAAAGTTAAAACTGTTTCCTATGGGTTTTGATGATATGAACAAATTTGACCTTCATTTCTGGCACAAATCAATAGTTTCTGAAATAAGTCTCTCCCTCCCATCTCAGAATTTAGAGATTTGCTATAAAAATCTGGTAAAAGGTGTTCAAAACACATCGAAAACCATCGGAAAACCCGAACCAACCTAACTGGGGAGCTCCACAGTCGTTTGATGTTCTGGGTGTGTACCGCCACATACAAACAAATTGTACATAATAAAATGTTTAAATCTCGCTTAAACGTAATTTGCAACATATACCATTGAAAAAGTGTCTTAGAATTGTCAAAACTACTGATTGCAACTATAAAATTCCCAAAATTCGTTTAATGGCAACAAATGAAATAATGCCGTGAGTTCTGGTATGATAATCATTTTGGGGGGAAATTGCTTCCTTTAGTAGATAATTAAGCGACTAGGCACACACTACTTTGTCTGGAGCACATTGCTTTGTCTTTCTCTGCGGTGATGCGGCGGTACACAGCCAGTCATCTCCAATCGATGCCATTCGCCAGTGTATGTTTACGAACTGGGCAGCAGCTCTCATATCCACAAAAAAATTAAAATTGCACCAAATCATAGTAAGTTTATATATATATATATATATATATATATATATATATATATATATATATATATATATATATATATATATATATATATATATATATATATATATATATATATATATATATATATATATATACACTTCATTTTTAGTCCATATAACACGCGGACTTTGAACATATAATCAACGACCTCACCAGCAAGGAATCGAACCCTCGACCTACTGGGTGTGACTAGGGAACGCTTACCGGCTAGGCCACAAGGACACTAAAAGCAGTTCTAGACTCTGTTATATTTCACACAAAGCCTGTTCATCGAGCTGATGGCGCCGTGAACCTCAATGGGAAACTGCCCGTGCCTCTTATGTGGTGTCAGTAGCATTTTACCGAATCCAGCTGGTATGAAACGCGAGGTACATATATATACTTCATTTTTAGTCCATATAACACGCGGACTTTGAACATATAATCAACGACCTCACCAGCAAGGAATCGAACCCTCGACCTACTGGGTGTGACTAGGGAACGCTTACCGGCTAGGCCACAAGGACACTAAAAGCAGTTCTAGACTCTGTTATATTTCACACAAAGCCTGTTCAACGAGCTGATGACACCACATAAGAGGCACGGGCAGTTTCCCATTGAGGTTCACGGCGCCATCAGCTCGTTAAACAGGTTTTGTGTGAAATATAACAGAGTCTAGAACTGCTTTTAGTGTCCTTGTGGCCTAGCCGGTAAGCGTTCCCTAGTCACACCCAGTAGGTCTTCTAACAATGCTTCTGCTGCTTGTTTTTCTCATCAGCTAAGGTTACATTAAGTTTAATTTAGAGATAACATACTTTTTAACTTATTTGCCAAAACTACGGGTGTTCACTATAAAACACAGTGAAATTGCAGCATTTTTTAATTAATTTTCTATGAAAAATTGGCAGCAGGTCAGTCGTCAAGAATTACTCATGAAAATTAACAATGACTGTACACGTAAATAATAATTGTTAAACTCAATAAATACCGTATTAAGAACAACAGCACTGAAGAAAACTTATGTACGATATTGTATGAGGAAAGGACGGAAAGTTATTCGGAGAAGGATCTTAGAATCATAATAGATAGTGATCTCAATTTTGATGAACATCTGGCTGAGAAGATTAATAAGGCCAACAGACTGGTTGAATTGATATGTAGAACAATAGTGACTAGATGTTCAGATCACTTTATACAGCATTAATAATACCACATTTTGGAGTATGCGAATCAAATATGGTGCCCATATAAGGTCAAAGATATAGAGATCTTGGAAAATGTCCCAAGGAGAGAAACTAAATTGGTACCATCTCTGAAGGACTTAAATCTTCCAGGAAAGGCTAAAAAAAAGCTGAAGGTACCAATGCTGGCTTACAGAAGATCATGAGGGGACATGATAGAAGGACAATATTTAAAATTACAAGTGGAATATATGATCAGCAAGTTTGTAAAGATATATTTAAAATCCAAGAAGAATCAACAATAAGTGGACACAGGACAATATACAAGGAGTTCAAGCTTAAATCTGAGGAAATATACCTTCTGCAACAGAGTAACTAACATGTGGAATAATCTGCCAGAATGGGTAGTGAATACTAACTCAGTTTTAAGTTTCGAAAGAAAACTGGATAAAGTGCGGGCCCACCAGACACAAAAGTTTAACCATAAAGCACAAATTCAATATACATCATAGTCCCGACCACAAACAAACTGACCACACAAGTATAAGGGAAAGTTTAGAGCTGGAGTCACAGGCTCAATAGCCTCTTCCAGAAGTCTACTGTGAGTATCTGTGTGTGTAAGAGAGATTTTAATCAAAGGCAATTTTACTCAAAAAACTGCTTGTACTGTATTTTACTTTTGACACTATTTTATTAACATACTTTATTCCACAGTCAGGGCCAGAATTTAGGCGAAAATGGGACCGAGATGAATATGAGTCACTCGCTCAGCAGCGCTTACGTGCTGAAAGGGATGCTGTCCAGGGTAGGTCTAATTTCTTGAAATGTAGGTCTCATGAATACTTATACATACTGTATTACTGTACAGTATAGTTTTTCTATTGTCATTTATGTAGCTACAGAATACAGTACAGTTTTATGATTTTGCTTTTTGTAAGGCTCTGGTGTAAAGTTGGATTATTTGACATATAGAAATCATAAATCATTTCTACTGTGTTATCCAATCTTAATATGTCCGTTCTTATTGGAATCTCTCATTATCCAGCAAGATGACCCACTCACTCATGTCCTCAGTACTCTCTGTGCTAGCATACCTCTGTCTTATACTTTACACCCTTGTTCTCTTAGTCTCCCCATGTCTTCTAACATACACTGTACTATTCACAGGACCAGCTACTTTCTTTGTGGCTTCATTCTTTCTGCTGTATCTTACTGTAACATTATTATTTTTTTACTCACCACATAAAAATTTCACAATATACCTACACTTCATTTTGTTACTGTACAAACAAAAATTTACAAGAGGCTATACAGTAAACCTGGTCACACCAGTTAGTGATTGTGAATTACTTTAACTGTTAGTATTTCAAGGGAAAACATGGATGTTTACTAATAGTGAACATTAATACTCCCTTTATTTATTTTGTACAGCACAAAACCAAAAAGCAGCTCCTGTGAAGCGCGAGCTGCTTAAACAACGAGACTACAAAGTAGATATTGACTCAAAGCTAGGAAAAAGTCAAGTTATTACTAAAACCACACCAGCTTCACAGTCAGGAGGGTAAGGTGTTTAATTTAACCATAGTTTTGCATTAGAAAGTTTTTTTGATCGAAGGCTGTCTGTAGGTCTGCTGTAAATTTATTGAAGTGGACTCATTTTAATTAACAGAGTTGGAGCATTACAGAAGAAAGCAGAAGTACATAATACATGTACACTTGGTAAAAAAAAATATCTTTCAGGAGGGGTTCGATGAATTTCGAACTGAACAATCCACACACAGAGCTACCAATGTGAGGTATGCCTCATGGGCCTTTATCAAAAACCTTCATTCATGGCGTTATTTTGTTTCGTACAAGTATTATGAAGATAGTTATTTTACTGATTGTACAGTAGAATCAAGTTATTTTACTGAATGTACAGTAGAACCTTGATATTTGCAATTTCTGCACTCACAAATTTCACAGTAGTATTTCATCAGTGTACATGTTTACTTACTTAAAACTTAACATTGTTGCTTATAATTCCTATGCCTATTTAGTTATCACATAAATGAGAGTTAACTGCAGCTTAGGTGGAAAAGAGTGAAGTTGTGTAAAAAAAATAATTCCTTCAGGTACTACTGCAATGTGTGCGATTGTGTTGTTAAGGATTCAATAAACTTCTTGGATCACATCAATGGCAAAAAACGTAAGTTATTCTTGTTTTCTGAATCTTTTCATCACTTTTGTGAGCTAGTACAGTATAGGAAAAAAATTCACACATTTAGGGATCTTTCAGTATCATTGAAGTTTTAGGTCATCAATGGCGAGGTCAGAGTTATCTAATCTCTGAGGAAATATGAGATTTGTGGTCATCTGATAATATATGTTATATCTGAATCCCAAAACTTGTACCCTCTGAATTCCTTTTGGTTTATTTGGTTACTGGGGTATTGGTATTAGTACTCTATATACAGTGTAGTGTAACATGTAATACAGTACTGTATTGTACTGAAATGTACTGTTTCAGTATGTGTCACAGATACTGCATAGGACTATCATTATGTACAGTGCTATGTCTTTGTTGAAGTTGAGTCATAACTTAATGTTCCTCATTGGTCAGTTTAAACTTGTTTTTGAATGGTACAGTGAAGGATTTGGTGTCCACTTTGTTTACTGTCATATACTGTATTATATATATGTACAGTACAGGCAGTCCCCAGTTACACAAGGACCTGGGCGGGCTCACTAACTCAAACAATAAATAAAAAATAATAATAATAAGCAGCACTATATAAATAAACCAATATTAATACAAAGGTCTGACAACCCAAGGGAGCAGAACAAAGATAAAACACCAATAGGAAAGATGAAGCGATCTGGTTGAGCCCAGATTCTTTCTGCTCCTACTGTATTTCAGTTTCATCACTTTTCCTTCAACCCCTAATAATCTTCTTTCACCTCATAACTAAAGACTCCGTACCGTACCAAGTTATGAATGCCCAACTTACAAACACCCATACTTATGAATGGGATCCCACTACAGTACAGTAAATCCTCGATAACCCAGCACATATGGGGCTCTAGCCTTGCCAGGTATCCCAAATTCCAACTTGTCGAGGCACTTCCCCCCTCCTACAAAAATACAACAATAAAAAATTATTGACCTATATATGTGTACATGTAATCACTAAATGTAAAAAAGTAACACTTACCAGCACTGCAGACGAAGAATGATGCATCATAGTAGGTGACACAGAGGCATGGTAGGTGACAGAGGCATGGTAGGTGACGTAGGTGGCCAGATAATTTTATATATCTCGGCATTTCCCGGGTTATACTATATTGTACCCTAATACATTCCGAGACCATATCCGTGCCGATTTATATGAAATTCCAAGTTATCGAGGGTTTACTGCACAGTATATTCATTACAGAAATCTGTATTGTAATTAAAATTCTATTTTTTTACATTACTTTTATTGTTTAACATCATTTTATTTACAGGTACCTGTATTTACATTATTTGTAATGTATGGGGTATTAATGTTGTTTTGCATGGGCGAGGTTATGTTGTAACCTAACCTATGCAATTAACATTTCTGACTTACGAACACCAAATACCTGTAGGCTTACCTGTACATATCTTTCCATGACAGATCAACGAAATTTAGGGATGTCCATGCGGGTTGAACGGTCTTCACTTGATCAGGTCAAGAAGCGGTTTGATGTGAACAAGAAAAAAATAGAAGAAAAAAGAAAAGATTATGACATAGAACAACGAATGCAGGAATTAAAGGAAGAAGTAAGTACTCTACAGTATCATAATAGACATAAATAACTTACATTTTCAACTTCAAGAAAAAAGATCATTTTAGAATAATGCAAGCAGGTCTCACAGAACGAAAATTTGGTATAAAGAAGTATAGTATCATTCATGGTAACGTCTGTGGTAAGTTGACCCAGTCTGGCTAGCCAGTGAGCGCAGGCAATATGACAGTACACGTATTTGTTTTTTGGTTGCAGCTCAGGCCATTATCATCTATGCACGTCACTTTGAAAATGTTGTGGATTCTAATCATATGAGCTGCCCTTAAATGTCTTAAAACAAATGCATAAGTGATGGTACTGAATGCAGTACAGTGCTGAATTGTACATATTGCAAAAAAAAAAAGAAAAAAAAAAGTGCTTAGCATCACAGATCATTTTGCCTCTGAGATGTTTATAGCTGCATACACCTGCCAGCTGACTCTACCATCCACTTCTCTATCCTACCTATTAATCTGACAACATTTCAGCTTAAAATTGATTAGCATATATGATTAAAAATAAGAAAATAGAGTAATACGGTTGCAATATGTTTTTCATATGAAACTCGAGAATAAATAAGAACAAATTAGACTATCTTGATCATTTTAGCCTGACTGGCAATACTTTATAATGGGGGTAACCAACATGTTTACAGTGGCTCAGTCGGATGATTAGAATTATTGTATAGCATACAGTGAACGTTTAGAGAGGAATTAATATAGATTTATTTAATTTGGCTACTGTTCAGCAACTATAATCTACATATGGTATACAGTAAGCTGCTGATATATACTGTACTGTATATATATTTTCATGTTTCCCACCTCTATTTAAACATCCCATGGGCTGATGCCACACCTACAATACACTATGAGCTAGGCGGCGGAAGTTGTTTGGACACTCTTCCTAGTCCCCTTCGTCCCTGTTCACTTAGCAGCAAAGTAGGTACCTGCTGTAAGTCGAAAGTTGCGAATTCGTATTCAGGGACAAGTTGTTGGAACTTCCAATAACTTGCTTAGACATAAACCATCGACTCTTCAGGCTTCTATGCCCTTGACTCTTCAAGCTTCTATGCCCTTAACTCATGAGACATAAGGCAAGCATGAACTTAGCATGCTTCCCTGTTGGGCGCTGTAAACGCTTCTGTGCTTCACCTTACACAAGGATATAGGGGGATGCCCAAAAAAAAAAAAAAACACTGAGCTAGACAGATACTTGCCTAGGAGACACTGCTTCCTTGCCGTTAAATATTACTACTTATATTCAATATGCTTTTTAATTGTTTATTTATTTATTTTTTTGTAATCAGTTCTTGTCATTGCATTCGCTACTACATGAATGATAATCATAGGGTTGAGATTCACTCGCTATCATCTCATCTGGCCAGGATGAGTATTACAGTAGCTTTGTGTCTCTGAAATGAATATTTTTGTATTTCTCTTTACTGGTGATCATAATTGTGAAAAGTTACATTTACTTTTGTACTGTAAAGGTCTTTAAATTAGTGCATACTGTACAGTACAGGTAGTTCTGCTATAACGCGATAATTGTGTTCTTGTAAAATATCGTGTTATAGAAAATCGCGTAATAGAAATAACAGGGCTTATGGAGAAAATAGGGTTAGGTGCAGATTACTCGAAATCGAAAAAATTTAGTAGTTCGCCTAACACAAAGGATAGCACAGTCTAAATAAATGTTACATTCATATCTAATAATGAAATCATACAGTAAATGTAATACTTTACCTTGAAAAAATATGAATGTAACTTGATGGGGGAGAAGGGTGATTTTGAGGTTGATAACATCGAGCTTCTCTTCAAGTGTTATATCCTTTCTTTTACGATCATCACCGGGAATTCTATCACCAGAACGCTTCTTGGAGATATTCTTCTTTACCATATTCACAGTTAATACCACAAAATTGGAGAAATAGTAAGCAAAAATCGCGTTATAGCAAACAAGCGTTCGCGTTATACAAATATCGTTCCTAATTCATAAATCGCGTTATCAAAACACGCGTTATAGCAGAACTCACTGTACACGTATAGTATTGGTTTCCTCCTGACCTCAATAATTGGCATGGATTTTTCTCGTATCTTATTTTACTTCGATGCCCCATATAGATACTGTAGCCACCATAGTTATCATAGATTTGTATTTTGTGTAATGAAAGTTTTAAGGTTTGTGTCTTGTCACAAAAGTTTTCAAGGTTTGTGTTTTGTTGAATGAAATTTTAAGGTTTGTCTTATGTAATGAAAGTTTTTAAAGTTTGTGTCTTCTGTAATGTTTTAAGGTTTGTGTCTTGTGTAATGAACATTACTCTTTCTTATATATGTTTCTTACAAACAGGAGGAGAAATTGAAAGAATACAGACGAGAGAAACGAAAAGAGCGAAAGCGAAAAGCAGATTCTGGTATTGATGAGGATATGGGTTCGGGTGGAATGGACCCAGAAATGGCAAAAATAATGGGGTTTTCTGGATTTTCTTCCTCCAAAAAATAATATGAATACTGTATATTGGATGCATTTTCATCATCATTGTTGAGTTAAGTTGTACTACTGTATTCACAAGTTAAATTAATACTGTACTTTGCATGTTAGCTGTTACTGTAAATAATACTGTAGTTATTTTATTTACATATATGAACTTTCAGATCCCTGCAAATTACATCAGAATCTGTGCGTTCATATATTTATCATTAACATTTTCATTTTAATGAGGCAAAAAAGTACAAGGTTAGTACTGTATACAATAGTATACTGTACTTTTATAAATTGCTTTAACTCATTTACAGGTAATATTTCATTGTACTGTACTATATGTTGATATGGATGTAAGTGTATTGCAGAGAAAAAATGTAAGTGCATCTGGTATAGCAAGTATAAGTCTATAATAAATTATTTTGTCAAGTTTTGGTTTTCTCTCTAAATCCTATTTCATATTTTAATGAAACTTCTGTTGATAATAATTAGCAGCTCCTTTATTTTAATGCCTTATGTTAAATATAACTGAAGTAAGTGAAAACAACGGAGATAACATGGTGCATAATAAATGGAAATATTACATAGGATTAATACATGTTCTGTAACACTTTGCTATACATAATTAATAGAGTAATATAAGAATACACAGCTTAAGGTACTACTTCGTGTCCATATTATACAGTGACGTGACACAGTGAGGTGACACCCGGGCCTCTGCCATTAAGGTTGAGGTCAGAGGTTAGGCACTGAGATGCCAGCAACTCACCGCCTACCTCCCTCTTACGTATGGGACTATATAAGTTAACTTGCCTAGCATCGCAAGAGGGTTACGCCTACCAGCCACCACTGACTGCCTGTGTGCCTCACTACTGTATAACCAAACTTATATTTTGTGCTTTGTGAAACAGTGTTATACTTAGTGACTTCACATCAGTGTCAGTGAGCTATGACCATGTGTAAAGTGGCATTTGTGAGTGTAGTGCAGTGATCAATATGACCGCTTCTGGCACTCCAGTGCCCCTACACTTATGCCTCTCTTCCACGCATGTGGTACCGCAGTAAAAGCTCCTCAACTATAAGTAAATACAGTCATGTTTTATCACTCCACCATGTCTGAGTCGACCGATAAAAACACCGCTGATCACTCCTTAGAACACACTGTGTTACTGAATATTAGGTGTCCTTCCAAACACAGTTACTTGAAAGATTACATTAACCGATATGACAACAGCTGCAAATCCGTTGCCAGTATAACAACTGATCTAACGCGTGGCTTCAGCACGGTGGTATTGGTAGGTGCCCATGAAGCCTACTCTCGGGGTCACTCCTGGCCATATGGCGAGGGTTTGTATAAACAAACTCCCATCCTCATATAGTGCCAGGCTGGTTAGTTCTTTTGAAACTAAAATTGACTTTGATACTGTATCTAACCAGAAAAACATAGATACCATTTAGCAAAAACAACTAGTGTAATCAAATTGTTTATAAACTGAGAATAATCCTGCTCCCTTTGTAGAAACCTACTTGGTTTACCCCCACACTCCCTCTCCTCCTGGGTGGCCCAGGTACATCCTCCCCTCACACCGTTGATATGCTGTAGACGTCAGTTTGCCTTGTCCTGTGAGAGGGTTATGCCTCCCAACCATCGCTGACCTCCTAGGAGTGCCAAGCAGATCTCAGCCCTCTGACGCAGGCATATAGGTTGAGTCTTGTAACTCCACCATGTCTGAGTTAACTGGAGACCTAGCTACTCTCTCTAGCCCTCCTGGGGCACTGAGTGAGCCAGGTGACTATGGTGTTGACCTTAACACCAATGGAGAGGATGACTTTCAACTAGTTCAGTCCAGGAACAAGCGGAAGGCTTAAAAGACAGAAAAACTTAGAGACCAACAACTACAACCTAAACCCCCCATGAGAATAAGATTAAACTTCCCTGTAGGCACAACATCTACAGTCAAGTATCGATGGCTGGACGATGAGTTTCTGTTCAATCAGTACACAAGATTATGTTCTGCATTAGAAATGACCTAGCAGTCATACAGGATCTGCTCACCAATAGCATAGAGGGAATAACTATGGAACAACCATCCCAACCATTGAGCAAGAAAATCATCTTAATCATAGGGCTCGACCAGTACCAACCCCTTACACTACTAGAAGCTCATCCCAACATAAGAAGGATGAAGTGACTCGAAGGGCAAGAACGCAGTCATTGCAGACTGGGTTGGCTCGGAAGACCCACCCAAGTTCATTAGAGTCCGTGGTGCCTATCAGACTCTGAAGGTAACTCTCTATCAGCCCCTACCCGGAGGTGTTACAATTGTCAACACTGGGGCCGATGATGCCCCACTAGCAAACCGTAGTGTGGTCTCTGCTCAGGACAACATGCAATATAGGCTTGCAAAAATAAAGTTGCTCAAGGGGAAACTATTCAACATAAGAGTGTTAACTGCAAAACAGTTGGAGTTCCTGTATGGTACCCTGGCTGTCCTAGAGCTCCGACACCCCCTCAGCGACCAAACCCGACAACCAGGCAGGTCTCAAGAAACCCTACTGCTGTTAGGGTATTCCCTATGGCCAACCACTGGCCCATCCTCCCCACCAAAGTCCCAGGATCATCACCAGCAGTCAACAAAAGATCAGCATGGGGCAACACAGACATACTGACACAACAGGTAGCCGTGAACACACAAAATGAAGAGATCAATGATTTGAAAAATTAAATTAATGAACTCAAAGCTCAATTTGCTACTGATATGTTGAACAGCCTCTGCAATGCACTACAGAAAAAGAACACCACCAACACAAAGCAGCAGCTATGGGAAGATTACAATCAAACTGAAGACATTCAAATGTCAGTACCATAGATGGAAACTCAAGATCCACCAGAAACTAGTCCACGTAGAGGAAAACAGTGATACCGGTAACAGTTTTACTGATGCCTCTGTGGACATAGTCAGTGAAGATGAACAAACATAAACAGAAAATGGTGGTAATGTCGAATGTAACCAAAGTGTGTTGATGTCTTCCTACTGAAATAGATCAACTAATGAGAAATACATGCTCCAGGAATGTTTCAAAAACATTAAAAAGCCTCCTGCTGGCAAAAGGGACAGGCAGCATGGAAAAAAAACAGTATCATACATACAGTACTTTCAGCTTCTTTCCAAATATAGTACATAATGGCCAGTGTTAATACCACACAAAGATACTGTATAGAGAGGTGAAGGTGATGAGTTGGAGTATCTCATCCCTTGACCTACAGTACACCACAAAGTTGTGATTGAGGACATCGTCTGCCCAATTATGTGTATTATGATCCTAGTTCTACTCACACATGTTTGATGTATGTTAAGAAGTCACTACCGCATGTACAGTACCTCTTGTCTCCAAAAAGACTACCAACTTTCAGTACCATGGGATCATTATCCACCTGGGCAACTCCACACCCAATGTGCTAAATGACTATGCTCCCTCAGATCAGCTTCATTACACAGATCTCTCAGACTTTGTTCACACTGAGCCCACTGTCCTAATTGGTGACCTAAATACTAGACACAAGAAATTAGGTGACACCACCACTAACACCAATGATAGGAGACATCTCACTTCTCAGCGCATATGAAGATGCTCAAATTATAGGCTCTAGACAAGTGTATTGGCTTTAATCTATCATACACAATTCATAGCCCTGATGTTGTCACTGATCTTATGTCTGATCACAACCCAATCCAAGTTACATGTAGCCAATGCCACCCCCACTGGTGAAAAACTTAACTCACAGTTAAGCAAGAACATGAAAACCAGTTCATAGACTTCATCCATGAGTGGTACAAGGATTACAAGCCTAACAACTACCCAAGTTTCCATAATGAGCTGATAGATAGGACTTATACATACTTTACCAACAATGCCTCCACCAAAAAAAGGAGGAAACGTGGTCAGCATCATGGGAACAGGCAACAGCAAATGCCACAATTGTATCAAGCCTCCCTTGCTGCCACCAGGGAACATGTAAATGAATTCAGACAAAATGCATGGGAAACATATGTCAACAGCCTGAACCAACACACATCCCTCAGCAGAGCCTAGAAAGATATACCCAGTAAACACAATCAGAGGTAAAAACAGTAGCTACGTCTCCCATCCAAATCCTCTGCAAAAGTCGAATGAACTAATAACAAAGTGGGCTCATGTCTCTAGCTATGACATGTTACCAACTAGGACTCGAGGACTCCTTGATGCGAAGTCTGTAGAGAGAAGTAATCTTATTAACTTTATGCTGGACAAACAGCACAATGAGTGTGATGTTCCATATACTGAGTGGGAGCTTGGCACAGCCCTCGCCAGAGGTAGGTCTACTGCCCCTGGAGAGGAAGGAGTCACCTACAATATCGTAAGACTACTAAGGCGTGTGCCGGGCAATCCAAAATTGGCATTGTACAATATGAGTCATGCCGAGAGCCAACTACCACACATCATGGACTAGCAGTATTGTTATACCAGTACCAAAACCAGGACAGCCTGATGCTTTTCGTCCCATATCTCTAACCAGCTTCCTGTGTTAAATCTTGAGAGGATAGTTCTTGGCAGACTCTATTATAGAATCAAAGAACACATGTCTCCTCACATAAATGGCTTCACCCATGGTAGTGTACATAATTGCATCACCACATCCTAACTCTGCCTGGGGATGAAAGGCACAGTACACCACATTTCTCGACCAAAAAGCTGCATTTGATATTGTCAATAGGCAACTAATATTGTACAAACTAACCAAAATGGATATAGGAGGTCAGCTGTTACACCGGATAAGTGGTTACCTAACCAACAGAAGGGCTGCTGCACTGTTTCAGGGTTACAAAAGTGAAGTTAAAGATATGCGACTTGGTACCCCTCAAGGTGGGGTACTTAGTCCCACTTTGTTCAATGTTCTTATGAATGCATTATTAAATTCAATACCAGACAACCCCAGCAATATCACAATCAGCTAGGCTGACGATATTCTTATACATACAAAAACTCATTGTGAAATGCAAACTACCCTGAACCATGTACAATCAAAGATAAAAGTCGCGTCGCGGTTTTGTCCCAGGTAACAACTCCCCCACCCCCACGGGGATAAATCTAGACTAGGCGGGACTCGGCGGACGTTCTAGAACGTCACCCGGGGCCTAAGGGTTAAATATAACTCGTGAAACATTATGAGAGCCCCCTACCACAAGGAAGAGCGCACCAAAAGTATAGCCCTTCGGCATATGCTTCCACCAAATTTCACGACACGACTTTTGTCTTTCATTGTACACGCAGCCTATGAGAACCTCAGTCTTATTATCTCCACTGAGAAAACTAAGGTGTTCAACAAACAAGCTGGTAACCGCAAACATGGTCCCGCCAAGTTCAAGATAGGTAACAACACTATTGAT